GTTGATCGCCAAAGACGATACAATACTTTGTTTAGTACAGTGGACCAGGCAGACATACTGGGAGTGTCTATTGATGGTTCACTACACCAATTTTCATTGATAGGTCTGGATCTTTGGCGTTTCCTCAGGTTGATACAGAACTTGGCATACCAGGATAAGAAGATTTGTCCCTTCGTCCGGAACAGTCAATCATTGAGGGACAGTGATCCGGGGATGGATCTGGATCCAGAGCTTGAGCCCCAGCGATTCCGGGAGATGATGCATATAGACGGTGACCTATTGAAACGTTGCCTTGATATGAGTGCGCTGGAAGAGCTGGTGTTGATTGGAGATGGCATCGATTTGTTTTGCGAGTACTTGGATGGAATTGACGATGGCATATATACCGAAGGTTTCCGAGAGACTGGCTCTCAAGGACGAAAGAAGTACATTGAGCTGGGCTATGAGATTCTCGAGTATGTTCTGACTCTAGCAATCTGAGTTAGGAACATGGCGAATCACATGGAAAGGCATTTAATATGGTCTAGATAAAATAATGACTCTTGACGATAATAATCAGATTTGTGAGTCAGAACATGACTCAATTTGACTCCTGCCTATAACGCCGTCGCATCTTACGCTCAAGGCTTGAGGCTTCATCTCATCAGGTTTGCCCATTGGTGAAGGCTTACATAATATGGCACATTCACAAAATAATCATGATTCCTGGGGTTTTTGTCATTGCCCCGCACTAGACTACATCAGAGGCTGAGGTCGGCTTGAATTACCTATTTGCCAAACGTTGTGACCTTTTGAAAGGGCAGACGGAGTAGACCAAAATTTCTTGGGTGACAAGTACGTGCGCGACAGACATCTCGTACGCTTTTAGAGACTGGATATGTCACGAAAACGATATTTCAGAGCCTAAAGATTCGCCACTGAAGAGAAAGCCCTGGACATAAGTTCATGAATTACAGTGGTTGCCCGCAGTATTGCCCCGCCTAAATTGGTAGCCCAACCCACCTACTCGCACCCTTCAACCTGACCATAGTCTGTCTAGGCGTGCATTCGATCCTCTCTGCCTTGCTTGCTTGATTGTGTGTGTGCGCGCGTGTGTGCTTGAGAGAGTGACCGAGACCACGGAAATTAGTTAGTAGGTTGCCTTGTTCGTCTGGCACAATTTTGTAACGTTATCTTTTTTTGGACTTTGGTACTTTTTTTTGCCTTCCCCCCCAAAATTTCCATACATAAGGAACGTTTAGCCCCGCCAACCTTGACGACTGCATCTCGAGTTTCACCCACCGAGACAACCGCCGAGATGCCGCCCAAGAAGAAGGGAAACAAGAAGAACCAGCAGGACGACTGGGAGGCCGAGCTGGGCGAGAGTATTGCCCCGCCTGCCAATGCCAACGGTGCCGATGGTGACGCCAACGCAAACGACGACGATGATGATGCTGGCGGTGCCGGTGGCCTGATGGCTACCCTGCGCAAGAACAAGGAGAAGCGCAAGAAGAAGGGCATCGTCGAGCCTGAACCCGTACCCGAACCCGAAGCCCCAGCTGCCGAAGAGCCCCCCGCCCAAGCCCCCGTCGAGGCCAACATCGACGATGAGTTTGCTCTACCTGAGAAGAAGGGCAAGGGTGGCAAGCAGAACAAGCAAGCTGCTAAGAAGCCCGAGCCTGCTGCCACTGACGATGCCGCCGATGGTGGCCGTATCCTGACCAAGGCCGAGAAGGAGAAGCTCAAGAAGGAGCGTGAGAAGCAGCGAAAGAAGGAGCAGGTATGCTACAGCTACACCATGGATTGCTTCATAGCATGGTTCTATTCTACTTAAATACAGCCTGCTAACAACTCGACCTTATGATAGGCCGCTGCGAAGAAGAAGGGTGGCGCTGCACCAAAGGCTGCCCCTGAGGTGAAGGAGCAGGAGGAGGCTGCCCCTGTTGAGGCTGCTCCCGCCCCCGAGCCCGCCGCGGGAGGCAAGAAGAAGAAGCTCCCCGCTCATCTTGCTCTGCTCCAGAAGCAGCAAGAGGAACTCAAGCGCCAACGAGAAGAAGCTGCCAAAGCTGAAGCCGAAGCCAAGGCCCAGGCCGAAGAAGACGAGCGCCTAGCTGCTGAGGAAGAAAAGCGACGTGAGGAGGCCAAGGCCATCAAGAAGCAGAAGGAGAGGGAGCGTATCGAGCAACTCAAGAAGGAGGGCAAGTATCTCACAAAGGCCCAAAAGGAAGAGAAGGCCCGAAATGAGCGAAAGCTCCAGCAGATGTTGGCTGCCGGTATTCAAGTTGGTCCTGCAGGCGAGCCTAGTGAGAAGAAGTCTAAGCCTGCGGACAACAGGAGAAAGAAGGGCCGTGCCCAACAAAAGGTATACTTTGTGATAAAAGACACCGAGAGATCAGGATTTGCTAACCCTTGACAGATCGATGAGGAGAAGGCTCTCGCAGAAGCTGCTGAGCGAGCTCGACAAGAAGCTGAGAGGGCCTTGAAGGAAGCTGAAGAGAAGGCTGCCCATGAGAAGGCCGAGGCCGAGGCCAAGGCTGCTGCCGAAAAGAAGGGTGCCGAGAGTGATGTGGAGGATGACTGGGAGGCTGCTGCTGCTTCTGACGGTGATGTCAAGGACAGCTGGGATGCTGATTCTGACGAGGAGGCCGAAAAGGCCAACGGTACATCGGAAGCAAAGGCTGAAGCAGAGTCTGGGGATGAGTCCGAGGAGGAGTCTTCCGATGATGAGGCTGCCACAGCTGCACAGTTGGCTGAGGAGAAGCGGAAGCGAGAGGCTGCTGAGCGCCGTGAAAAGGCTCACCAGGCCGCCCTTGCTGCCCGATCCAAGGATAACCTGCGATCCCCTATTTGCTGTATTCTGGGTCACGTCGATACTGGAAAGACGAAGCTCCTGGACAAGGTCCGTCAAACTAACGTCCAAGAGGGTGAAGCTGGTGGTATTACACAACAGATTGGTGCCACGTACTTCCCTGTCGAAGCCATCCGACAAAAGACGGCTGTTGTCAACCCTGACGGCAAGTTCGAGTTCAAGGTCCCCGGTCTTCTCATCATCGATACCCCTGGTCACGAGTCCTTCTCTAACCTCCGATCTCGTGGTTCTTCGCTCTGTAACATTGCCATTTTGGTCGTCGATATCATGCACGGTCTCGAGCCCCAGACACTCGAGTCTATGCGCATGCTGAGAGAGCGCAAGACTCCTTTCATCGTTGCCCTCAACAAGATCGATCGTCTCTACGGCTGGAAGCAGGTTGCCAACAACGGTTTCCAGGACAGTTTGGCTCTCCAGAGTAAGGCTGTCCGCAACGAATTTGAGACCCGTCTCGAAAAGACCAAGATTGCCTTCGCTGAGCAGGGTTTCAACTCTGAGCTCTTCTACGAGAACAAGTCCATGTCAAAGTACGTCTCGCTTGTGCCCACTTCGGCACACACTGGCGAGGGTGTCCCTGATATGTTGAAGCTCATTGTCCAGCTCACTCAAGAGCGTATGGTTGGCTCTCTCATGTATCTCTCTGAGGTCCAGGCCACTGTGCTCGAAGTCAAGGCTATTGAGGGTTTCGGTATGACCATCGATGTCGTCCTGTCTAACGGTATCTTGCGAGAAGGTGACCGCATTGTGCTGTGCGGTACAGAAGGCGCTATCAAGACAAATATCAGAGCACTGCTTACACCAGCGCCCATGAAGGAATTGCGTCTCAAGTCCGCCTATGTCCACAATAAGGAGGTCAAGGCTGCTCTGGGTGTCAAGATCAGCGCCCCTGGTCTCGAGGGTGCCATCGCTGGTTCACGCCTGATGGTTGTCGGTCCCGATGACGACGAAGACGATATTGAGGATGAGGTCGAGTCCGATCTTGCTGTTCTCTTCAACCGTGTCGAGAAAACTGGTCGCGGTGTCAGCGTCCAAGCGTCGACTCTTGGTTCGCTCGAGGCTCTGCTCGATTTCCTCAAGGACTGCAAGATTCCTGTTGCCAACGTTGGTATCGGTCCCGTTTACAAGCGTGATGTCCTGCAGTGTGGTGTTATGTTGGAGAAGGCACCAGATTATGCCATCATGCTCTGTTTCGATGTCAAGGTTGACAAGGAAGCACAGCAGTATGCAGAGGACAATGGCATCAAGATCTTTACAGCTGATATCATTTATCATCTGTTTGATGCCTTCACTAAGCATATGGACGAGCAACTCGAGAAGAAGAAGGAAGAGTCCAAGATGCTTGCTGTCTTCCCCTGTGTCCTGAAGCCCGTCAAGGTCTTCAACAAGAACGACCCCATTGTTATTGGTGTTGATGTCACTGAGGGTCAGCTCAGAATCAACTGTCCTGTCGCCGCTGTCAGGAATAACCCTACAACCGGCGCCAAGGAGATCGTCAAGCTGGGCAGAGTGTAAGTCTCTAGATTCTCTCCTCCCACGAGACCCCCTATTAACAGTTTTATAGTACATCAATTGAGCGAGAGCACAAGCAAATTCCCGTGTGTAAGCGAAAGGAACCTTCCGTCGCTATCAAGATCGAGATGGGCGGCAACCAGCCCATGTATGGCCGACATCTGGAAGAAGACGAGACTCTTTACAGTCTGATCTCTCGAGCCAGTATCGACACCCTCAAGGAATACTACAGAAAGGAGGTCAGCAACGAGGAGTGGCAGCTCATCATCAAGCTCAAGCCCTTATTCGACATTTCATAAGCAGCCAAGCTTACAAAAAGTTAAGAACATGGGTGGTGTGAAGCTTCTACCTCAACAACCGCGCCGGGGGCTTGGTTGCATCCTGTCCTGGAGGCGAAACTCGATGTTTCGATAACATGCTGACAGGACATCAGGTTGTAGCCAGCTCCCTTTGTGGGGAGAACAGTACGAGAACTACACTGCATATCAAAAAGAAGAGAATAGGAAAAGAAATTGCATCAACTTGTTTGAAGGAATTGTGTACGGTACTGGTTTGCATTTTCGGGCAGCAAAAAGAAAAGATTGAAGAGACGTGAAATTGAAGGGCAAGGGGCACCCTCAAGGCAACGTAGTCGTATAGAGTAGGGCTCTTTACCAACGAGGGCTGAAATGATTTAATCTTATGTTTGCTGATGCTATGTAACGAGTGTGAACTGGATGAACGACCCTTGCTATTCAGTCCGATATGCCCCCGGCATAAGGATTGTCTTCGTGGCAGGCGATCGCTTCCAACTCATCACGATAACACAATTGAATAGTGGCAGAAGAAGCTGACCCAACTCGAGTGTATGGATCCTAACTACTAACTTAAAAGTGTAAAAAGGTGGTCTAACGTTCGGGTAACATATCCGTCATGATGATCCGGGCCCCTTTCTTCCAATAAAACAAACAAAGCCGTTTGCAACCATATCGCATGTTCTATTTCTCCTTCTCCCAAACCTGGTGCCCTTTCTTTTTTCAACATCCGTAATCTTTTTAGGCGTCATTCATCTCATATCATGCAAGCATCACGCACGCAGAGCCGACCGAGCATGCATCCGCAGTGTCGAGATTCCCTCCATTTATTCATAATTTACTGGGGGTCGGCAGAGCCCTCGGTCTCCTGTTGCGGAGCGTCGGCATCCTTCATCTCCTGGTCTGTGTTGGCCTTCTCGGCCTCCGCAGCCTTGCGAGCATCCTCCTCAGCCTTCTTCGCAGCCCGTTCGGCCTCGGCTTTCTCCAGAGCGGCTTGTCGTTCAGCCTCGACTTTCTCAAAGTGGCGCTGGACAATGGGACCAGCCATGGCGCGGATCTCGTCAATCTTGGCAACGTACACACCCTTTGTGGTATCATCACCCTCCTCGTACAGCCAATCCTAGAATTGCTATTAGTATGTGGATCTTCGAGTTATCAATGAACATGTGAACATACCTCTGTGGCCTCAAGCTTGGCCTTGATGGTCTGCTTCTCCTCTTCGCTGGCAAACTCAGAGTACTGCTCGTCGAGCTTGGCACGGAGGTCGTAGATGTAAGCCTCGAGCTCGTTCTTCTTCTCCTCGGTATCGGCGACAAGCTTGTCCTCCATAACCATGGCAGCCTCCTTCTCGAGAAGGCTGGCCTTGGTGGAGTCGTCAAGAGAGGCACTGCCTGTGGAGATGGGCAGGTCACCCTTGCGGACCTGCTTCTTCACCTTGCGGGTCTTCTTGGGGGCATCCTTATCGGTCTCCATGGCCTTTTGGGAAACGGATGTTAGCGATCGGGGTTCATAAATCGATTCTTCTAAATGCTCTGGAACAGCGAAAGCGGAACGGGACGAGTCGGTTTCTTCTTCATCGTCGAGTCGCGGGCGCTTTGCAGGATATGCTCGGCTATCATCTCCAACAGATGCGGACGATGAAGAGGCCGAGTCCTGATCATGGACGGGGGGGAAATCATTGGACGCCATATACGGCTCGGACAAACTCACATCGGGGTCTTCGTTAACCTCCTCCTCAACCTCCTCCTCCTCGACGTAGTAACCAGTCTCGACGTTCAGGACACCGTGGATGTTGACACGGGCCTTGAGTTTGCAAATCATGAAGTCGTCCTTACCATCGGCCTTGACGTTCTTGACAGAGAAACGGCCGATCCAGGGGTTAGTCTTGCCGGGGAGCAGCTCAGGCTGGGCATATCGGGCCTCGAGATCGAAGGGCTGTTTTCGGTAGAAAGTAAGGATCTTGGTCGAGGGCATGACGTTGCCCTTGTTGAAGACAGTCAGGCTGGTGTCCTCATCAGGAATATCGGGAGCCTTCTCCCAGGCGAACTCGATGGGGTAGCTGATGATGTCCTGGACGGAGAAGTCTCGGACACGGAAGACAGGGGAGAGAATAGCACAGCTGAAGGCAGAACCACGGGCAAGAGCCTCGTCGGCGTTAAGGGTAAATGAGAGAGGCTTGCCGAAGAACTCCTGGATGCGCTCCTTGAGAGCGGGGACACGAGAGCCGCCACCAACGACCTCAATAACATCAATATCGTCCTTGGTGAGCTTAGCCTGGGCAAGGGCTTCCTCGAGGGGAAGGTGAGTTCGGGCAAGGAGAGGCTCGATCATGGCCTCGAACTCCTGGCGAGTGATCATGGCAGAAGCATCAATGTCGTTCATGAGAGACTCAATGTTGACAGGAGCTTGCTGGTTAGCAGAGAGAATCTTCTTTGTCTTCTCAGCGGCGGCGATGGTACGGGCAAGAGCACGGCCGTGGGTCATAATGTCGACCTTGTATTTGCCCTTGAACTCCTTGGCGAGGTGGTCAACCAGAGCGCGGTCGAAGTCACGACCACCGAAGTCCTTGTCCCAGGTGGTGGCCTTGACAGCGAGCTCACCCTTCTTGAACTCGACAATGGAGACAGTGTAGCTGCTGTGGCCGATATCGACGAAGCAGACACGGCGGGGAGCCTCCTCAGGGGCAGGCAGGTCGAGCTTTGTAATACCCCAGCCGAGAGCGGCGGCTGTGCCGTCGTTGATGAGGCGGAGGACACGGAGTCCAGCAATCTCGGCAGCGTCGATAAGAGCACGGCGCTGGACATCAGTGAACCAAGGAGGCACACTCAGGCAGACATCTTGAACAGGCAGCTTGAGCTCGGCTCCGGCGGTCTGCTTGATCTTGCTCAAGTACATGGCAACCAGCTGAGTGGCAGTGAACTTCTCCTTCTTGCCCAGGTAGTTGACCTCAGCACCGACCTGGCCATTGCAGTCGGCCAGAGGAGCGGTCACATATTGCTGCTCAATCTGAATATCGGGGTCGTTGAATTGTCGGCCAGCAAGACGCTTGAGGGAGCTGACAGTGTTCTTGAGGTTGGAGATTTCCTGGGTCTTGGCAGCCTCTCCGAGGTAACGAGACTTGGGTCCGAATCCTACCAGGGAACTAGAGAATAAAATTGTCAGTATATATGTCTGATAAAGGTGGTGGTAGGGGGTGTGGACCGCGCGCGACAAGCAACGGGGTCAAACAAGAGGTATAAACATACGGAGTTGCTCGGTTTGAAACTTCATTGGTGACCTGTACAAGACAAACGAAGTCAGTTATGGGAGTCCTTGGAGTTGGCCATCCATCCCATCGGCAGTGTAGGAGCGACGACGAAGCAGGTATGGAGGGGCAGGGCAGTCGATTGGGATAGATGGCGGGGGAGGTTATGAGGGTATACGCACAACATCGACACCGCGGTTTCGGGCAACGGCGATGACAGTCTTGAGGGTTCCGAAATCGATACCTATTACAGAGGAAAGTCAACAGTCAGTTTGATGTTGTTCAAAGTCGGGTTGTTCCTTGGGAGGAATAGCGATTGGCCGAGCACCGCCAGCAAAGAAGAAAAAAAGTGAGTACTCAGGGTGCATCACTTACCAACGACACTCATGATTTCGACTGGTGGGGTTTGCCCCGAAACACGGTATTAAGGTAGAAAGAGGAAGGGGGATATAAAGTTGAGCGATGCGCGGGAAAGCTCAAAAGAGAAGAAGGAAAGCGATCGCAAAAAGGCGGGAGATAGAGGGAGGATCGTGAGAATGGATAAGATAGAAAGAATATGGAGGGGAAGAGTAAAGGTCGGTAGGGTATGAATGGCTAAGGTTGGTTTGGTTGGGCGGCGGTTGTTTATGGCCTGGGTTGGTCCGCTGGCGCTGGGTCAATTTTTTTTTTTGGTGGAGGGGCAGCGAATGGGGGATCCCGCTCAATGGGCTGCACTGTACTGAAATTTTCAATGGTTCAGTGGCTACAGGGAAGTGCACTGTATCCGGTACCTGCGGGTCGATGTACGATGTGGTGGACCTGCAGTGTAGAGCGATGATGTAAACCAAGTATACACTACTTGAATGTCTGTCGCGATTCGATTCTTTTCTTTAAGCTGTTTCTAGAAGATGCGAAGTTTCGTTTCTTCAAAAGAGATTAAAAACGTCTTCCGAAAAAGATGTGCTTCGACTTTTTTATATTCATGATAGATCTAGTGAGACTGAACCAATGCAATATCTCGTTTGTGCTGGGATGCTGTGGTCACGTCGAACAGTTGACTAGACCTAGCAGACCCTAGAAACGACGATAGATTTCTGTGCGATTCTGTCACCAGATTCAACAGCTCCTGTACGCAATCACATTGCCTTACAGTGGATATCAGGGATTTAAAGCAGATACAGCATCCCCACTAAAAAAGAAACGCAAGGCACCAGCATCAGCCACGACGATACATACACTACAGCAACTACCTTACTAGGTAGATAGTACTGTACCTTATTAGTGAGTGATACCCTCGACTCGAACGTGTCCTGAAATGAGGCAAGCAGAGACTAAGCCTTTTTTTCTTTCTTTCTTTTTTTTCGCCTCACCAGGACAAGTGCAGCAAGTAAAAATTGAGATGTCATGCCCCTCCCCCGCTATTCCACCATTTCAAAGGCGAGGCAAGACACAAAGCTTTGTTGATGGAGGGGCACAAACAGTGGTGTTGAAAACCCCTCTAACAGGTGAGAGCTCCTCTGATAACGATAAAGCAAGTCTTCCATTCATGGATTGATTCCTCGCCACCTAAGCTCCTTTAGTCTATTAAACATGGCAAACTTGACTTTTCCATCACATCTCAGCGCACTCCTAACCCCTACTGACGAGACAAAAATATCTCTATCAAGAATATTGAAGAAATTTCGAGACTACCTATCTTGGTCGAGCTCAATAATATTACCACCACCTTAAACCGGGCCCAACCCTCCGGGTGTGACTAAAGACAACATTTGCATGATCTTGACACAGCCAAACAAACTGTGCCAAGCTGTTCGAAACTAATATCATGCATTTTTCACTCTTCTGCTCCGCCAACTTGGAAATGAACTTTCAGGTGATCGACTGGACTGGACTGGCTCACCGACAAAGCCCTCATTTTCCTCCCCGGCACACCGAAACGACAATTTGTTCATGAACTAACAGGAGTAGCCTCATGTTGGTGAGAGTTGTTGAAATTGCATATATATCAGGATGCCACATGTCAGTGAGGCTATTCCGGTTCCTTTCGCCCTCCCCCGTCCGTACTGTATCCGTAGTTGGCTGTACATAGTAAGTGACAGGGTCGCTTGGAGCATTCGACCCCGGTCAACGAACGACCTGCCTGGTCTGACCTTCATCATCTTCATCTCTCTTGTGTGCTGTCATGATGGCCCATGCGGCTCCAGAATTGCGGGGTAGATGTGGGCTTCAGCATGCTTGGATCGACAACTATCCAATGCAAAACCTGCTGTTCGTTGTTCGAGATAGCTTCATTTTTTACACTATGTATAATCTGAGAATGACGAACCACATAAGTAACTGGCTCAACCTAAGCAATATAAACACTGGCTTGATCCAGGCAATATTCATCGCCTTATTCTATCGGCTTTTCTTCAGTCTCTCTCTCGTCATTCGACTAGCAAACGACACGTTTGATCCAAGCCTTACTTGTTCCCCGTCAAGGCTGGTACCAATGCTTCTCTCCGGAGAAGTTCGACGACGAGGTTCAACTGGCTCGTCTTGAGCGACCTGATTGTATTGAACAGGACTTGGGGAAGTGGTCATATCTCCCGAAATCTCAGCACGTCTCATAGGTGAAGCCGAGAATCCGTGACTCGACTGGATGCCTTCCATATCGCTTACTTGAGAAGCTCGGCCCTGCATTTGTTGTGCAATCTCATACTTTCGAATGTTTTCCTCATCCATTAGGAACTTCATTCTTCGCTGTGTTCCAACCCCGAGATCCGCACACTCTTGAGGCTTCGAGCACACGTGGGATGTTGTTTTCCCCATTTCAATGTCCTCTGTGCTGGTATCGATCTCATCTGGATGAGCGTATGTTCCTGATGCTGTCTTTTGACGTGCCGAGAACTTGCCATCAATCTTGTCTGGTGGTCGCACCACGCTTCGAGTTCGCCCGAGTTCGGTGGTTGCAGTCGGCTTACGGTTCGAGGCAGCCCTACGTGCTTCATGTGCCGCTTTAAACGTCTCGGGGACCACGTTCAGTTCGTCTCCCTGTTTCTCAGCTTGTTCCACTGCTTCTCTTGCTGTCGTGTGCGCGTCCGCCGCCGCAGCATCGGCTCGTGGCCCGCCCCAAGTTCGCTGCCCTGCTGTGAATATACCGTACACCATATAAAGCCAGTTGTAGAACGGATTAAGAATAAACATGAGAGGATAGAGCCAGGTTTTGAATCGCCGGAGCTTGGCTCCAAAGTACAGCATCAGAAGCCAATTCAGCCCCAGAGAGACGGCAATGAATCCCACAGGAAGGTCGTCCACTTTCTTGACTGTAGTTATCAGGGCCAAAACCATGATGAAGAATAGTAATGCTGTTGTCCGGATGGTATTCTGCATAAAACGGACCAATATGAGAATGGGGTAGCGCTTCCACAGGCGCCAGTCCGTCAACATACAGACCTCGTTTGTGATGAAGCCTAGAAACCATCGGCGCCGCTGCTTAACCAGGGACCGATATGTCTGCACAGCCTCGGTTTTGCAAAAGGCCGATGTGCACATCTGGATCTGGTACCGCTTCCTGGCTCCAATCATGAATAGATGGGTTAACCAGCGATCTTCTCCCAAGTGACATTTAGAAAAATCGAACAGGTCTTCACACTGCTCTGTTTTGTCTACAAAATAGTATTTGGCCATTCTTCGAAAGGCTGAGAAGCGCAGCATCGTCAACGCTCCCGGGAGACAAGTGACAGAACCACAGCCAGACTCAACAGTTCGTTCAAACAACTGTCCGTGTATGTATTCCATGTCTTGTAACAGTGTAATGATGCTATGTTTCTTCGTCGTCGAGGTAATGACGCCTGTCATAGCCAGCATGTCTCTAGAATTGCCAGGGCTGAGCTCCATGTCGTAGACAAAGTTTTGTAGGCATACCTTGTCTAGGATACAGTCGGAGTCGATAAAGAGAATGAATAGATTGTCTTTCCGCTTGAGATACTCCTCGTACACTCGGTCAATGAGCTTGAAGGTTACTTTCTGGCAGTGACGTTTGCCTCCGTGCTCAAGACGTGAAATGGTTACACGTGCAGATCGATATGTGACATCAATACTCTTGGGGTATGTCTCCATCTTCATGGATACACCAAGTTTATCAATAGTGCTGAGGTAGAGTTCGTCCTCCTCCTCCCCGTCGAAGGACAAGAAAACATGGATACAGGCGGGTGGGTAATCGCATTCGACAACTGAGTTGACAGCTTTGAGGAGAACCTCAGGTTCCTCTCTGTAACAAGGCATGACTATGACGACCTTTGGCGCAGTAACATCATCGAGCACCTGTTTCATACGCTTCGTTCGACCGAGTTGATTTGTCACGACTTGGTAGATACAGAACAACCATGGCACTGTCAAGAGGATCGCGAAGGCCCAGAATGCAAACCACTGGAGAAAAGACACCATCTCATTCGGCCACAACTTTGTAACGGTATCCGGAAGTGGCAGCGTCACCACCATGATTGGGAGGAATATGACCCTAGACTTGATATTAGCTAGGGCCATGTTGTGCTAGGTGACTGGACACGGCTTACCGGAGGAGAACAAAGGCAGTGCCAACAATGATGCATAAGACATTAATAGACCAATGTTCTGCCTTTTGAAAGACTTTGACGAGGCAGTAGACGAACGCTGCCAACCAGAGAAACCACTCGAGGCATGCCATCAAAAGCACGACACCGACTATGATGGTATATATAACCTGAAATGATCAAGTTAGCGCACATGACGGAGCGAAATTCTGCAATATGTCGACTCACGTTTTCCAACGGCCAGTCCTTTAGTAGGGCCATGATTGCAAAGTGGCCTTTCCTCCTCGTTTGACAGCAGTCGGCAGGCAACAGAGAGATAGTGTCAGTGAAACAGATGGAGACAGTTCGTAAACTCGACCCGAAGCACGGCAACCACTCCCTGAAGATTTGTGTGCTGCGAGCCGTTCTGGAAAGTGACCATGGGAGACAAGAGTCAAAGAAGGACAGGGCAGTGTTCAGAAAGGGGCCGTCTCTTAGGTTGGAGGCACTGTCTTGAGGTGAGCTCCCGGCGGGTGCCGGCAGAATATTGCGAGGCTTGAATGAGCCAAATTTGGCGACACAAGCCAAATCGATTAGGAATATAGTTGAAGGAAAGCAAGTGCCATGAACATCAGAGGAAACTGCCCCCTTCATAAGCTGTATGTGGGGGAAGGTGCGACGAGCAGAAGAAGATGCTGAGAACGAAAGAAACATCGGATGTAAAGACGTTCAGATTCCCGTGGGAATTCAAGGCAAGATTGTCCATCTAAAGGTCACCAAAAAACTGGGTGTCATCCCAACCTCATCACGGTTACACATGATATATTGCCTGCCACAAGGTGGACTAATAAGCATTAGTCGATCTGTAAACAAACACACACAAACCAATCTTAGCGTTAGCATTTCCACTCTTGATTAACTCAATGCGTTGACCAGGCCCAATGCTCTCTAGTATCAAGTTCAGTATTTCAATCTCAAGCTACAGCGTACTCATAACCAGCAACCTGGCAGGGGTTTAAATGCCTTCCTTAGCTATTCATCTGCTCAAGCCATGTTGGACGTCTAAACATCCTCAACTCTAGACGACGCATGTGCTTCTAGTATGCCTTGTCCCTTCTATTCCCTGGCAAACACGTTGCTGCGTTGCGCGCGTGTGGCAGGGTCGTGTTCTGACGTCCAGGCTTATACTGCGGAAGCTATCTTACTGCTGCGAGCATACTTCCGGCAATGAAGCTGGACTGCGTGAAGCCGCATTATTGAAAAGCACAGCTTGCATCAACGTTGAGAAGGATTCAGCTTACTGGACCGCACTTTGCGCGACGTGCCAAGACGGCACGAATGTGGCACAAGGTTGGTTCTCGATCACAGCATCCGTGACCATAACTCGGAAGCGAAGCGACGGTCATCTCGGGAGGCAGTCGTCGAGTGATATTGGTTTATCGCCGAGGCTGGTAGTTTCCTGATTAGAAGTCTTACCCATTCGAATATCTTTACCAATCGACATCGCTCAGTTGGAGTTTACGAGATCTTTGGCTCTTATCCTTGTTCGATCTCTCCAACCGGTTGTGGTAGAACGTCGCCGGTCGTTCGTTGCCTGAATTAATGTGTGAATATTGGTGTTGTAATGAATTTGTGTTGGTTGAGGGTCTGTACCACCATCTTGGTCTTCATTCTGCTGAAGATCATAGTTGAGCACCAAATTCTTGATGCGCTGTTGTTCCTCCCTTTCAGCCTGTTGCTGGTTCTTCATTGCAATAGCAAAGGTAGAATCAGAGGGCAGTTCGACAGTCCGTGTCTAATTCCAGGTCAGCATCTAGAACGGCACAGAGTGGCAATGGAAACTACCTGCTGGCGGTTGCCCTTCTTCGTCAATAAGGAGAACGCCATAGTATGGCCAGGAGGAGATTCTCCTTCGCCTCCCTCTGTTGAGGTAGCCTCGCGGTTTTTGGATCGAACTGGAAGCGGCACATCAAAGAGCTGCTTGCGCTCAAACTTGCGCGACTCGAGACTTTCGGCCATCATCTTAGCATACTCGCGCTCAAAATCGGCCTCATCCTCAGGGTCAACTTCCTCTTCTTGTCGAGTGACTACGATGGCTTCCTCGTCAAAGGTACTCTCGTCGTCGGAATCTTCCTCCACGTCCTGTATTACATTTGTCAATCATGGCCAAGTATTTCGCACTTGATTGACTTACCTCTGCCTCCTCTTCCTCAGAAGCACTGTCTTCGTTGTCGTCGCCATCTTCGTCATTATCCACATTGTCATCGTCGGACGAAGCATCGCTTGTGGCATCATCCACGTCGATTCCCTTGTCAACGCCTGCCGACTTCTGATCTTGAGCAACGGCAAGTTGGAAGGCTTTTACGGCCTCATCCAAGCTTGTGGCAAGTTTCCATTGTGGCCGAGTCAGAGCAAATGTGTCTTGAACCAAAAACTCGATATCCATCGGCAGGGACACTTTAGTGAATATGTAATACTGCCAGAGTGTCAGTTAAAGACAACATACCGTAAAGAAAAAAGTGGTGGATCATACCTGGAAGAATGAAAGGAAGTAATCCAACTTCTTGCCCGCTGCTCCACGGTTGAAAAACATGCCGCAGGTTTCCAGCATTGTAGATACAAGTCGGATGCGGAAGAAGTCATCGGGAGGATCGAGTGGGATATATTTGCCAGGAACAGGTGGACCGCCTGTAAGTCCAGTCAGTTGATGGACAAGTTAGTAGTCTAAGGAATGTCTTACCATATCCGAATGTCATAATCTTGTACATGGTGTCAAAGATAACAGGATGTTCAAGCATACGGTAGTTATAAAGCTCGCCAAGATACTTGACTTCGGCAATACGTCGCTGATAGAACCTGTAATCATTCTGCTCGAGACCAAACGTCATAGACTCGATCACGTTATCAATAACCTTGACCACAAAGGCAGGATGGTAGCGATAGAGCGCGCTGAGCAAGATACCAAGAAGGTGAACGCTTCCATACTTCACCTTTCCAGGCTTTGAGAACACCTTCTCCAAGATGGCAACAACCTAAAACTATCAGCACTTATTCATAAAATACTGTTTCTGCTGCATACCTCTGTCTCCTCCCAGTGGAGCCTTCGAATCTGCTTCAAGATCTTGCTGTAATTTCTCTTTGTCATATCAACGTAGATCAATTTGCGAACGAATAGCTCCATGGGAGTACGTTCCTTCTGCTCGATAGCTAGACGTTCTGGTGGGTCGACGTAGTAAACAGCGTTATCGATGAGCATCCGCTCTGGTTGTCCAATATGTTGGACGGACTTCTTGCGCTGCAGAGTTTCAAGAAAGCTCATCATACGAGGAGCTGTTTCAGGGTTTCGAAGCAGATATCGGCCGCAGTTCTCAATGAGGTTGCACAGAATCTCAATGTTCATGCGTGAAAAGTCATCCAGGCTGACTTTCAGACAATGAAAGACAACATGCTCGGGCACAATGCCGAATTTTGTCAACTCAGCAAGATACCGAATGTTGCTCAGACGGACTTGTCCCAGGAAGTCTTTTTCCTTCCGTCGTTGAAGACTTCGAAACTCCGCATCAAGGTAATCGACCAGGCCCTTTGGAACATCTGGCATATATCGACCCAAAGTCGCCACAAGACGAGACCATGACGGCAGTAGGTCGCTACGACCCTTTGGAACTTCCGTCAGGGCCTTCACCAGACGGTTGCGAGAAGCCTTGGAATTCAGGAAGCAGAAATCGATAGCTGTCTGGTCTGCGATGTCCTTGTTGGTCAACTCTGGTAGACGCGCAAGCAGAGCATCGACTTGCGCTCCAATGGTTCGGTTAGCGATAGATGTGGACTGGTCATCAGCAGTCTCGGCAGTCTTGGGGGCTTCCGAGGCCTCGGATGGGTCTAACTTCTTCCCAACTTGTTCGTCCGTGTCTGTCTTCTTCTTTTTGCCGTCTTCCAGCAAAATAGCCGGCACCTTGCCTTTAAGATCAACCAGGTTTTCGTAGAAGCGTCGCTCATCTTCGTCCTCCCAGATTCCGGCACCGTCTCCCATGGAACGGAGATAATCGCCAGTCTTAACGAGACCGATAGACCCGTTGGAAGCGGCGAATGAATCATCTGAGTCTTTAAGGTCCGGCATTTCGGCCCCAATGGCGTCCGCGATAACCTGAGCGTTTGAAACGAGGCGTTCTTGAGCCTTGACCTGTTTCTCATAGTTCGCCTGTCGATCTTCAAAGACTTCACCAGACTTGACATATGCCTCGGCATTACGTCGAGCTTGCGATTGTATCGACTTCTGATCCCGAGTGATATGCCCCTTGACATCATCAAAATACTTCTTCAATATGCTCCTGAATCGATCGCGCATTTCGGGTTCGGTGAAAGGCTGATCTGCGTCAGGAGACGCCTCATTTCCACTATTGCCATCCTCGGCTTCGTTTCCTTCAGTAGTGCCGTCTTCCTCTACTGTCTTTCGGCCATCAGCGCCTGTTGGTTTTACTCCAAGGATATCCCAGCTGAATGACTTAACAAAAATGACAAGAAGCGGAAGGTTGGCATGTTCGCGGTCGTGTCCAAGCAAATCCTTAAGTACTTCGAGGGGGAACGGTTCCGCACCGGTGCCTTTGTTCGTTCGGGTCTTCAGTTCGGGAGTCTTGCCTGCGGCTCCTTTTGTTGCGTCGTCGGGCCTGCTAACATCATCAAGGGTCCTGATGACGCCAACAAGCCACAACTCGGTCACTACACGAAGCAATGCGCGTTGTCTTATGATGCGCTCCTTCTCTTCTTTCTCACGAACCTCTGGTGCCAGAGTTTTGAGGATACCCTTATCCGGAGTCGCCATCCCTTTCCCAAGAAGCCAAGCTAAGTATTCCGTAAACTCGTTGGGACCAAATCGCTGATGGAGAGCACTGACAATCTCCACGCCGGCCTCGATCTCGCCAGGCGACTTGAGTCGGCATAGTCCCTCATAGCAAGCAGATATGATCTCGGAAAGGTACTTGTGTAGGCTCAAAGTTCGGATTTCCTGGAGGAAGGTACTGAGGGTAGCGGCGGTGATGGCTGTTCGCAGTCGTTTAATCAAAGCGGTATTCTTCTTGAGAGACGAATCGAGAGTTTTTGCAACAGGGAACAAGTCTACGACAGGTGTTGTTAATAGAAGATGGCGGGGGAGTGGTGGGGTAGACAGATGATTCATACCAGATTCGCCATCCCAGGCCTTTTCGTTCAAAGTGCGCAGTTCGCCTAGAGAGACAATGAGCTACTATACAAGTAAGAAGGGTGGTGAGAGATTATACGCTTCCTTGCGCGATCCATGGCGGGTCACGGTATGATTGGAGGCGATTCGCGACCTGGTAAATGTTCTAGATCGAATGTGAGATGGGTGGAGGCGGCGCTACATTCAGCGCAGGCTGCCTGCTAAGGGATATATTTCCCCAGAAATTGATGCTGTAGATAAGGCAACAGAGCCGACATGGGTGCGTCCGTCAAGCCAGGACGGGGGATATGCGATGTGGCAGGGCTGATACGCCAGGGCAGTCAGTGTCTGTTTGAGGTTTTGCTGTTACCTGATTTTGAGGTTGACAGCGATTAACGTTAAGGTACAGACTACAGCCAAAGAGGTGGAGGTGCAGGTGCCCAGGGTGGGGTCAAGTTTCGCCTGCCACCAAAGTCATATTGGTATAGGTACCTATATATTGGTACCCTGGCATGGTCGCCTGGCTGGTACCTAATGGAAGCTTTTATTTCTCCCACATGTAAGTCAGGATAGGTACATTAGAACAAGAACTCTACCGAATGAATTTACCATTAACTTCCAGCCACAAGATACCCAAGGTAATACAAGGCTTGAGGTCCAATTGCAAAGGCTGCAAACGCCGCACTAAAAGTTTACTCCGAGTTAAGGATTCAGTCATCGCATCACCATTTTCTTGAGAGTTGTAGTGTTATGAGATATATGATTGGGAAACTTACAGTATCCCTAGAGTGTAAATATCATTGTAGAATCATAATGAGCCCTACCGGGTAAGTGATCAGCTCTAGGTTAGGCTGCTCGTCTCGGTGGTGTAATTGAGTGAGTATATACCAAGTGCCGCGTTGTCGGGCTACTGCAGTCGTTATTGCCGGGTTTGTGCTGAACCAAGTGCCGGAACAATATTCTAGCGTCTGTGCTTGATGAAAGCCTTGATTCAATCTTCGAGCTTGTGCCCATAGAAGCTTCGGAAGTTTCTGAGATCGAGCACCAAACGTTATCGGTGTATCCAAAAATGGAAAACTATTCGAATCTTGCATAAATACCTTATTTGGCTCGTTGAGGTATCATAAGCCGTTGATTCAGTAAATGATTCCAGCCTATGCAGAATAGACCATCATATCATTCAAGACAAGACATATCATTTCCTGTTTCATCATAATCCTTCAACCTCAACTCTATCCATTGATAGTATGACCATGGTCAAATCTGGACGGAAAATATGCCCACGATCTTGAGATGTTTAGCATCTCCGGGCAGAAAACTTGATCACCTATAATGCACGAGACATTACCGACAAGTGCTCATCTATGCGCTGCCTTGCTATCTTGATCCCCTTATCAGCCCAGTTGCAATGTGGGCCCTCAGTGATTCAGACATCTCCGGCCGCAATCAGCTAAGGAACAGACGTGATTCGCCCATCGCCTCTATCTCCTGATAACGCATACTCTTCAACCTCCGCGGGATCAGACCAGAGCCCAATGCATCCACTCAATTGTAACTTGCATCTCCTCGCGGGAAACAGAGAAACACGATATCATGAACCAAGCCTCAGCAGATCCAAATGGAGAACCTCAGGGGGGTCCTAGGCCCTCGAAACGGGCAAACGGCAGTGCCGTCACGTCAGATCACCCGCGATAAGACTTATTATACTGCACTTTCTGCTACCTCTTAGACTAATCCTCAATTCAAACAATGTTATCAATGCTCTCGGTTGTGTAACTATTCTTGAAACTTCTTCACAACTAACACACATATCTTTATACACCATGGAGACTTCAACAACAACAACCCTCCTACAACAGGAAAGGATTCCTGAAAGCTCTGAACCAATCTCAACCCATACACATACCCACAGCCTTCCTCCTACTCCTCCAGGAACAGCAAAGCCATCTCGGATAGGTAGCTTCCACGATCTACAAGAACTCTCATCAGTTGAATCTCCTCGTCTCGACCATATCAAGCCTTATCCTCTACCTCCAAAATTCTCGCCAAAGTCTGTCCTCAAGGAAGATCTCAAGACTCCTGATAACTTTGTTGAGAGAGACCCACGTCTTATTCGTCTAACTGGAGTCCACCCTTTCAACGTCGAGGCACCCCTGAGCGACTTATACGATGAAGGTTTCCTGACCAGCGAGAACCTTCACTATGTCCGTAACCACGGACACGTACCTAGATGTGAAGACGATGACATTCTCGACTGGGAGTTCGAAATAAGTGGCCTTGTCGAAAACCCCATCAAGATGAACGTGCGGGATCTCATCAACGACTACCAGCAATTGACTTATCCAGTGACGTTCGTGTGTGCTGGAAACCGTCGCAAAGAGCAGAACATTGTACGGAAAACCAAGGGTTTCTCTTGGGGACCGGCCGGCCTGTCAACAGCTCTCTGGACCGGTGTTGCTATAGGAGATCTCCTTTCTGCGGCGAAACCTAAGCGCGGAGCCCGGTATGTTTGCTTCGAGGGAGCAGACAAGTTACCCAATGGCTATTATGGTACATCCATCAAGCTCAACTGGTGCATGGATCCTAACAGAGGTGTCATGGTGGCTCACAAGATGAATGGCAACCCCCTACCCCCAGACCATGGCAAGCCTGTTCGTATCGTCATTCCTGGACAGATCGGCGGTCGAAGCATTAAGTGGCTTAAGAAGATTACTATCACTCAAGAGCCTAGCGATAACTGGTATCACATATATGATAACCGTGTCCTACCCACCATGATCTCACCTGAAGAGAGCGCAAACTTGCCTGAGGTCTGGAAGGATGAGAAATACGCCATTTACGACCTCAGCACGAATAGCGCCATTTGTTACCCTGCCCATGAAGAGAAGGTGCCATTCACGGATGCTCCGGCAAGCTATAAGGTGCGAGGTTATGCCTACAGTGGTGGCGGAAGACGTATTACAAGAGTCGAGGTTACCCTTGATAAGGGTAAATCTTGGAGACTCGCCAACATCAGATACCCTGAGGATGACTACCGCAACGCCCCTGAAGGTGATACTCTGTATGGGGGGCGTGTCGACATGTGGTGGCGCGAGACATCCTTCTGTTGGTGCTTCTGGGACCTTGACATTCCTCTGGATGAGTTGAAGAGTGCAGACGACATCATGATGCGTGCTATGGACGAGTCCATGAACGTGCAGCCTCGAGATATGTACTGGAGCGTACTGGGCATGATGAACAACCCGTGGTTCCGCATCGTGATCCACAAAGAGGATCATGCACTTCGCTTCGAGCATCCCACTCACGCTACCCTGAAGATCAAGGGTTGGATGGAGCGAGTCAAGGAGGCCGGTGGTGATCTCACTAACGGCTACTGGGGTGAGAAGGCCCCTGGTGAAGTTCAAGAGGTCGTGGTAAAGGAGCCCGAGAAGCAGATCTGCATGACCAACCCTCAGATCAATCGAAAGATCACCATAGAAGAGCTCAAGGCTCATAGTGGTGAAGAAGAGCCTTGGTTCGTTGTCAAGGGCGAAGTGTACGATGGCACTCCTTACCTCTCCGGTCACCCTGGTGGTGCAGCATCAATCTTTGGTGCCGCTGGTCAAGATGCCACTGAAGAATTTATGGCCATTCGTAAGTTCTACTTAATCATACCAAGGCAATCGAATTGTTCGCTAACATTCACTTCAGACAGCGAAAATGCAAAAGCCATGCTGCCCACATACCACATTGGCACCCTCGATGAAGAATCCCGTGCCATTCTCAGTGGCGATGCTACCAAGACGAACGACGACGCAGACCGAGAAGTGTTCCTCCAAGCCAAGACATGGAGCAAGGCTATTCTCGACAAGAAGACATCCATCTCACCAGATACCAAGATCTTCTCCTTCAAGCTCAACCACGAAGCCCAGAAGATTGGCCTCCCCACTGGCCAGCATCTTATGATGCGTCTCCGCGACCCTGCCACCCGCGAGGCTATCATCCGCTCATACACACCATACTCCGACGGCTCAGATTGTGGCCGTCTGGATATTCTTATCAAGATCTACTACGATACTCCCCAGCGCAAGGGTGGTGTTATGACACAAGCACTCGATGCCCTTCCCATTGGCCACTGGGTTGACTTTAAGGGACCTACGGGCAAATTCGTCTATCATGGCAATGGCCTCTGTACGATTAATGAGAAAGAACGCCGTGTTCGCCGTTTCATCATGGTGTGTGGTGGTTCTGGCATTACTCCTATCCGCCAAGTACTCCGCGCTGTTATGCATAATCCCAAAGACACGACGCCATGTCTGGTCTTCAACGGCAACCGGAGTGTGAACGATATTCTCTGCAAGGAGGAGCTCGAAGAACTGGAGGCTGCCAATCCTTCAAGATGCCGAGTCGTTAATGCCCTCTCTAATCCACCACCCGAATGGAATGGCCTCAAGGGCTTCGTGAACCAAGCCCTGGTTCCCGAATACATGGATCTGCCCAAGGCAAGTGGTGAAGGCGATGAGTTGGTGCTTGTTTGTGGACCTCCACCGATGGTTAAGGCTGTTGAGGCCTCATTTCTGGGCATGGGTTTCAAATCAGATGATTTTGTATTCTTCTGAAGGATCTTCAGGGTGATAATCTGACAGTCAAAGTGGACTGCTTACGTATTTCACGATGTTACTTTACAGGGAGGCGTGAGGAAAATGGCGTTTAGAGGATAGATTATTTTTTGGGATTCTTTGGTAACTCTATAAAATCAGAGTTCGAGTAACGTACGTATAAACAACAGTATGCTATACATGCTCCAACGACCCAACTCTGTGTATCTATACATGCATGCTATCCCTGAGCAATATCAAACTGGAAAGTGACTCCTGGTCATAACATCGTAATAGATTAAAAAAAGAACCGGTAGACTCGAAGCGAATCGGTGAGGATTCTATCAATGTCCACCCTCGGAACTACCTTCAGCAGCCCCCTCGGATCCATGGCCAGTTGGGTTTGGATAGTAGAAGGCCGCAACAGCAATAGCGACGTAAAGAATGATGAGCAGAAAGCCTTCCAGGTAGTTGCTCTTCTGATCCTGGAGGAATCGACCAACGGTGAGAATAGCGAGGATGAGCATGACGAGGTCGAAAACTGCAAAGTTGAGATCAAGACCCTTGTTGAGGCCCCAGCTGACAACGACGGCAAGAGGGGCGTTAAAGAGAGCAGTTTGTAAAGTCGCACCAAGTACGTGAGACATTGCCAAATTAATCTGGTTATCCCAGGCCTCATCGATGGCGGTCAAGTGCTCCGCAAGCTTCTCAACAAGTGGAACAAGGATGAGACCCATGAAGGCGTCGCTGACATCACCCCTTTCGATGACATGTTCGATCTGCATGACGAGAATAACCGCCGTCCATGCAACAAGGCCCACGGAGATGACCAAAGCGATGATGCACTCAGTCAAAGTAAGCTTGGCCTTGGCTTGGTCCTTGTGCTTGTCTCGATCGTTGTGCTCATCCTGTTCGAATACAGCAGCGTAAATACCATGGTGAGTTCGAGCCTGATAAAAGACATATACAAGGTACGCGATGATCAGAAGAACTGAGATGACGCGCGAGATTTGGAGTGTCTTGTGGTCGAGGTTTGCGGCGGTAAGTGACTCGCCATTGCCAACACCGTACTCGAAGACAGTAGGAAGGGCCAGAACAACACCACTGTGAATCAGTCAGTTGTTGAACGAGGGGGGAGGATCGGGAAAGTTATACTGACGCGGTTAAAAGTAGTCCGCTTCCAGCTTCGCTGATAGCCTCATTGAATTCCTGTTCTTCTTTCAACATGCCACCAACGAAAAAGCAAGCACCGAGGCATAGGAGCATGGTAGCAAGAATTGAACCCATGATGGCAGCCTTGATAACGAAAAACATATCCTTGGAAAGAAGAACCATGAAAAGAATGATTTCGACGATAGAGCCAATGCTAAAAATAAACATGTCAGTTATTGTTTCTCGGATTTAAATCCATGAGGAACATACGTGATCTCGAGAAGGACACCCAAGACATGAGGCAGCTTTCGTGACAGCTCCTGACCAGCAAAGCCGATCAAATTGGCACACGGAACCATGGCGATATAGGCCAGCGCGAAAATGGTGATGTGATTATCGGGCATAGCATCTGATACGCGTGAGCCAAGTCTATACAAGATATTGTGGGAGAAGACTTACAGCGAACAGCAATGGCAGCAGGAACGAAAGGCCAGAGAAAGTTGCAAAGCAAACTAGCTCGACTGGCTGATCTGAACGAGATCTTGGAAAAGTGAATAGGATGGAAGCCCTTTCGACCACTCTCGCCCGCAGGCTTGATATGTCGAGACATTTTGCCGTTGCCGTGGCTTCTTTTCTCTCCTCTCTTGTGTTCGCTATATGTGTTTGGAACCGGGAGAGTACGGTCGTCGGATGAGACTTGTCGCATGTCTGGAGAGTTGTATGAGCGATGTCGATGGGAGCGTGAAGAGGAGCGATCTCGAGGCATGTCGGATGCCTTTTGTATGTTCACTTCAGTGCAGTACGGGACAGTTCAGGTATAGTCCTCTCAAATTTCCGAGAGAGAAGGGTCGAGACCAGGGACTAGGACCTGGGGGCTTGTGGGAGGGAGCCAGCTGCCAGACCGCCCAGCGTATACGGATAGTGTGTGTTTACTTGTTACGGTTGGAGTGGTTAGTAGGCGAATAAAGGGGAGAGGACCAAGCGCGTAACAAAAGAGGGAAGGGGAGGATGGATATAAGTGTGTGAGAGAGAAGAGGAAAGCAATGCTGTAACGAGGCACTCACTCCCAGTCGATCCTCTATTCAATGCATTGCTACTGTATGCGAGTACAAGCTCCATGTTTCACACCTCTCGGCAGACCTAGATCTCTTGGTCCACGGCTCATCCAAATCTCCCAGTAAATAAAAAAGACCCCTTGACCTCATGAGCCAATGAGATAGCTCCAGCATGATGAGGGTGCGGTCACCCACAATGCTTGTGCCCTGCCAAGTTTCGTCTCTAGCAGGCCAAGCCGGGCCCAACCGTTAATTTTCGGGGGGACATTGCTTGGCAGTGCCTTGAATCTCACCCTAGTCCAGCTACGTCACTGACGCTCTAGCCGCTGTCCAGACGACATCATTGTACAGAGCAGAGCTAGGTGCTCCATTGCTGATTGCTGGCATTTCTCTTACCATAAAAAGCAGTCTTATCGCACTCTCACTCATCCTCCTATATCTGGCTCTACTCGTCATACCAACAGTGGTGACCTACGTAACTAACTAGTGCGATTCAAATTATTCTTGTTTTTATCCTTATTTCATATCCTTCACACTTTACCCTTCCGAGGTCTAGACCCAAGCCATCTTACCCCATACAGGCCACCTCAGCAACACCAAATCACACCCTAGACGCTAGACTTGGAAAAAGCTTGTTCATCAGCCAGACAGGGGCATCAACTCTGTGATTCCCTGTGCCGGTTTCCCGTCTACCGACACTCCCATTCCGATTCGACGCCCAAAGGAGGCTTCATGTTGAATTTGCAAGCCACTATGCAAATCCTCTTTTGCTAGTTCCTGTGTGATATTCTGATATCACAAGTGCCAGAGCTGGCGGCCTCGGTCTGCTTGTGCAGCTAACACTGTCAACCTGGGCAATTTCCGGCACCGTTGGTGCATATCATCATATTTGAGCAGGCAATGCAGTAGAGGAAAGAATCGAAGAACCCTATACGCTTATGATAACAATAGGACTGCTACTAGAGTCAGACAAGATAAATTGTACATATCCCGGGACGTGGCGTCAAGTATTCGACAACATTAGACAGGGCTTCCCTCGGCTCGTCCACCATTCAGTTGAGTTATAACCATCCTAGCGACCCTGCAAGCTGAAGCATGTATTGCTGCATAGTCGATATCCATAGTTTGATGGAGGGAATATTTTGCCATGAAAGAAGGGCATCGTGATTTCAACTAGGGCGAAAACAATTTTGGGATTCGACAGCAGAAGTACGCCCTGAGGGATAAAGGAATCCAAAATGGCTTAAAGAGTCGAAAAGAAGACGAAGTTTGAGCGTAGACCGTATATAAGAGAGACTGGAGATCTGGATTCGTTGCTTGGAACGAAGGTAGGTATATATACTGGGGGGGGGGGACGCAAGTGAATCCTTTGCCAAGTCGGTCATAATCGAACTAATTAACAAAATGACAGTGATAGCGGCATGTAAACTTAGACCTCGTGTTGTTCTTTATTCGTTGGTATCGCCGATGTTACGGTTCTCGAAGGCTGCCTCTTTGGCCCGGTACGGAACAGGTTCTGCCAGAACAACTGTTTCAGTACCTATGGGAATGTTCAACTCTGGACCCATCGGCAGTGACTCCATATCAATCTCGACGTTCAACAGAGTCTTGAGGATCACTTGACTGCCCGCTTTGCTCATCACTTCGTTCGCTTGCTTGCACAACTCTGATGCCACACATTCAACACAACCTCGCTCACAGTGACAGTCTTCGACCCGCTTCAACGCATCCCGTAGCAGCTGGTCGACATGGTCAAATGCTTTCGTGCTGATACCTGAGCCTCCTGCACCGCCTTTGGCATCGTAGAATGTTAACCGTGCTGGTCGCTTCCGCTGTGATTCCTGTTTTGCGAACTCTTTCACTGCCGTCTTGCACTCTGTTCGTACATCGCCAGGCATGCTGATAACAAAAGCTGGCAGTAGACTCATAATGGCATGCTCTGCTGCGTGAATCGCGGCGGCAATATGAAGCCGTCTCTCTTGGAGAATGCTCATCGCCTTCTTAGGCACATCGAGCCACATTCCCTTACTGAAACGTATGACTGGTGGATTGTCCACCTGTACCGCATCCAACACTCGGTTTTTCTTGTCGACCTTGAAGAATCCAAACACGTTTTGCTGGATCTTGATTGTTCCATAGTAAGCATGCGACCGAGAATTCGAGATTGTTCTGATGGCCTCTGTCTCCGTAGGATCGATATCAGTATAATCACGCTGAATAGTTGTCCACTCAACCTTGACCCTTTCCACCCTGGCCATTCCTTTGTCAGGCTGGAAGTCTCGTACAAGGTAGGGATCACCCTGGTGAAGAAAAATGGCTCCATCGTAAAGTGTAAAAGTTGCTCTGGAGGCCTCCAGCTCCTCCAGGACAACATTCCGGCCGTTGGTGATATCTATGATAGCAAAGTGGTCGTCTTCCGTGTCTCGTATAGCTACATACTTTGCAGGGACAGGGCGAAATCTATCATGGCAATGATAAAAGCCCATGTCATCTTTTATTAAGCGCTCCATGCAAATCTTCGGTAAGTCTTTGCCAAAGTATTTTGCATCATCCTTTGGGCGTATTGGCATTTCATATGCCGCGCATTGAATGTGCCCTTCACGCACAAGCATGTTCTCCAGATCAACCTGCAACTCGCAATTGGGCTTTGTGAATAGCTCGTCTGGATTCTGCATGTAATGCTGGTCTGTAGCAAATCCGTCACCAACGAGTATCGAAAGTGAATCCTTGTTGCGACGGCCAGCACGGCCACTCTGCTGTCGCAGGTTGGCAATCGTATAAGGGAATCCCCACGTCATGACACAATCAAGGGAGCCTATGTCAATACCGAGCTCTAACGCAGTGGTTGCAACAATTCCGAGCAGTTGACCTTGAAACATTTCAGTCTCGATCCTGCGGCGATCTTGTGCTGTATAGCCGCCACGATATCCCATCACCAGATTGGTACATTCTGGCCGCCCCAGGTTCTCGAGCTCCTGCTTGATAGTGCTCACGAGCAGCTCGCATTGCGCCCGAACTCTGCAAAATGCAATGATCCTTACACCTCTTAGCATCAGGGCACAAAACAGGCGTGCGCATTCAAACTTGGTGCTGCCACGGCCAGATGCAGGATCGCCAGGGTCTTTATACGGAGTGTTCCAGCACAGAAACTCCTTCCGTCCTGATGGAGATCCATCGTAATCTATCAGCTGGACGTTTTCTATGCCGAATATGGTTTTGAAGTGTTGCTCTGGGTTCGCAACTGTAGCAGAACACGATATAAATTTGACGCGCCGGTTTCCCACGGCGGCACATATTCGCCTCAGTCTTCGCATGATGAAGGACATGTGAGAACCCATTTGACCATTATAATAGTGCAACTCATCCACTGTTGACGATTAGTACGCGTATAGAAAGTATAAATCAAAGGAAGCGCTTACCAACGACGTATTTCAAGTTCTTCAGGTAAGATCTCCATCGCTCTTCTTGGGGTAATATGGTAATGTGAAGCATATCTGGATTAGTAAAAATGATTCTTGCTTGCTCTCGAATCCCATTGCGCTCAGTCATTGGAGTATCCCCATCAAAAGTCTCCACCATAGTCTCTTCAAGACCAGGCATATAACTCATCATCTCTTTCAAGCTCCTCTTCTGATCCTGTGCCAAGGCTTTTGTGGGAAAGATGTACATTGCTCTGGAGTTGTAGTCCTCTTCGAGGGCACGAATGACCGGGAGTTGGTAGATCAAACTCTTGCCAGAGCTTGTCGATGTTGACACTACAACGTGCTTGCCATCGTGGAGACTGTTGAGAGCCTCTGACTGATGCGCATAGAACTGTGTGATTCCCTTGGCGTTGTATAGAGCGTTGACCAAATCCTGGCTCAAAAGAAAGTTGAGGTCCCCATACACAGCCTCCTGCTTCTCAAATACTCGATGTCCATCAGGGACAATCTGCCCAGTATACCAGGGGCTCTCCTTGAGCTCCTGTACGATTTCTGGCACGGTCTTTCGTTCCTTTGGTATGCTTTCTGGTATCGAATCGGCTGCCTTCTCCGGGGCAAACTCTTCTTGGGCAGAAAGGGTCGGGAAGTATGCCTTTGTTTGTTCTTTGAGAGTTTCAAGTGGATCAATCCCATCTTCGGAGCATTTGTTGAGGAAGGCATTAATAGCATTGGTGAATTTTTGGTTACGCCTCTCGATCAGATTGGTCATCTGTTTTTGGCTGAAAACAGGCATTCTCAGCTGCTCGTCTCTCAATTTTCGGTTCGGCTTCGTTGGCTCGCCAGCCTTGCCTGGGACTTGTCTCTTCAGATCGCCATCGATGAATTCGAGAAAAAGGACTTCTCGTCCTGCAGGTTCAAGATCCCGATCATGTTGTTTGTCAAGGCTGTCCATGCCAGTGTACCCGCCCACTGAAGCATCATGCGCAGGAGCCTGAGACCTGAATGATTTGCCAGTTCGGAAGACCTCGTCCCTTTCAGTGCCTTTGACATCAAGTTGCAGCATATTCTCGTCGACATATGCAAAGAAAAGACCCTCAGGACGAATCGCCACCATGGAAGCAATCTCATCGACCAATAGTTCCCGCTTGATATGGGCTTCAACGGCAGATTTTATAGTGTCAAATGTTGTGGCGAGATGTTTTCGAGTGGTGCAAAAGGTGTAGACAAGATTGAGAGCTCGATGCGTTCGTTCAACCTGCTTAAACTCTTCTGGCCATTCCACAGCGCAGGGTACTACTGCACTGCTGGCTTCTTTCTGAAGGGTCGGCCGTGATTTTCCTCCCTTTCCTCCCCGTTTGGATTTCGAGCTGCTCGGTTGACTTGAAGTCGGACTTTCTGCTGTTGAGTCCTCGTCGCCATCACGCTTGCGTTTTGCTCCTGGCAGTGAATATTCTGTGTTAGGACCAATTCGGTCTGATATTTCCTTGCGCTTTGTCATGTCATCACTGGAAATTGAAGAAATGTGCGAGGCTCGGCTGAACTCATGACTAGGTGAAAGCCGTTTCAATACGTGAAAGTGGCGACGTCATGCATTGTTCGAGTCGCGAAATTGATGCCAAATCACGTGCATTAAGTATAATATCACCAATAGCCAAATGTGACGAGCAATACAAAGCCTAGCAGAAATGCAGGTATTATTGTATCAATCGAAGCGTGTTTATTTGTGCGAATATTACTGCATGGCCAGCACACGGCTGTAACACCATCTCCATCTACCTTCTCCAGTGTCCAGGGCCTATACTAATGGCTTCCCAATGCCATTGTTAAGACACAGCAGTGCTCCCCAAATGATAGCTATGTATACACAATTCTATCCATGGTTCCGTGCAAAAGCCAGAAAGCGACTAGGCTCTCACGGTGCATTGTATCAACATGTGTGCTCCAAGCTGGGCACGACTTTGTATCCTTCTAGTCGTCTGCCCTGCTTGCCATTTGTATAAACGACAGCTGGCCAGACTGGCTCCCCTCATGTATCAATGCAAATCCCCGTTTGCGATTCTATCAGGGCTTGAGGCAGGGCATCGCCTCTTTATGGGGGTTTAACAGCTTTGCAAGAGCTTTCCAAACAGTGGCTAACTGTTCTGGAGTTCTTTTTGGATGATTCCAATCTCATTCATGAAAAGCTTTGCGTTAGCAGCTGACATCTACATGACATTTGTCAGTTCCAAGTAACGTATAGGAAATTCAAGGCATTGCGACTTACTCTCATTGTAATGCTCACAGGTTTGGACTGTTCACCCTCGAAAGCAGTGAAGAGAATGCCAACAGACTTCAATGAAGCCTTTTCTTGGAATTTCATGGCGGCGACAAGCGCTGTGTTCAAAATGACTCGATGTGTTTGATCCTGGCGCATGATGAGACGGGCAACCTTGTGACCTTGGGATTCTCCTGCGGCCTCCTCATCCATTTCCAAAGCGGAAGCATCAAATGATCCGGGGATGACAGCGCCGTTTTCGTCGTACTCGACACAGGCCTGAGGCACATTAATTTTAAGCATGCCTGCACCTCGTTCTTTCCAACCGGCCTCTTTGTCGTGGTAAAACATCTTGGCTCTCACAGAGACAACCGTTGCCTCGCCGGCTTCGCCATCCTTGACCTCGACTAGTAACTATTAGTACTAAATTGATAAATAGATAGATAGGAAACTCGCTTTTCTGCAACTTAAGCTTCTTTTTCTCGTCGGATTCCTTCTCTGGCGAAACAGCACGTTCGGCTTCAGAAGGTTGCTCACTCTCCTCTCTTTCTTCGTCCTCTTCTTCGCCCTCCTCGGATTCACTATCCGGGGCACCAAATGGCTTCGCAGGTTTCTCGCTCTTGAGGGGCTCCGCACCAGGCGCGGCGAAGCTCGAGAGGGGTTTGGTACCCCCTAGAGCAGATCCAAAAGTGCTTCCCCCAAAGGGGCTTCCGTTGCTTCCAGTTGATAATCCTGCAAAAGGCGACGCTCCTCCTGAGCTTCCAAAGGTCAGCTTGGGCGGCGCGGCAGGCTGTGCTGTTGTAGATGAGGGCGGAGAAGCAAATGAGCTAAGCGAGGGCTTGCCAGCAGCGAGTGACCCGAACGCACTTCCGCTCTGAGAGGCACCAAGAGAAGCAAAGGGCGATGTCCCGGACGACAGCTTGCCAAAGCCAGACGCCGCGAAAGCGCTAGCAGATGTTTGTCCTTGGGACTTTTTTGTCGGTGATTTGCCCGCTTCGGTGTCTTTGGTCGCCTCGCTGGAAGCAATCGTTGATGGCTACAAAGAAAGAATTAGTCCAGCCCCTACATCTTGGCAAATAAAACTGCAGTTAGCATACCAAATCTGTATCTTCGTCGCGATGTCGCTTCTTCTCGGGCTCGGTTCGCAGAGCTCTATCCTTGGCCGAGTCCGATGATGCTACACTGTTCGCATCGTTTTCCTCAGCATCTTTGCTTCCCTCTAGTTGGTCATGTGCGCGCTTCTTCTTAGGAGAGGCGACTTGCTCCTTCAAGTCATTGTCGGGCGCATCCGATGTGTTGGCAGCATCTTCTGGACCAGACGTTGGGGGGTCAGAGATAGAGGATTGCTTTAGTTCACGACGAGTAGCGCGAGTCTCTGCGTCTTCCTTGGTCTCGACGTTGAGAGGTTCGTTCTTGGGACTGGCATCGGGAGCGTCGTCGGCCATGGCGTTCAAAGGCTTGGTGTGATGACGGCAGACTAAGGACGATGAACGACAAGAGGATTGGGTTTGATAAGGGGAAGACGTTGAACTTTTGACGCAGAGTTTATAGGTGAAGATATAGCACAAGACATGTAAGGTCCGAGAATCACGAGTGATGTCTGAGCAAAAATATGCCCTGGACTCGGAATCAGGCTGGGCGCAGGTTGTCTGAGTTGGGTCACTCTTCGATGTTGGAATCGAAGGTTGAGTTGAGCGCTGCGTGGAGCCAATCAAACACATGCAGAGTCGCCAACGTAAAAATAACCAGAGCTAACCTAGACACCTGAGCCTACCTGAGCCTACTGTAGCTAAGGTATTCACCGCCCGCCTGGCGCCAATGTCCACGCCAGCAGGAGGGGTAACAATGGAGGATCGAGATTGGACGTCATTTTTACGATTAAACAAAGACAAAATGATCCCAGACAGTTGGGGAAAATGTGAAACGCCCCAAAATATTGTATGTAAGTTGGCTTTATACTGAAACCTGACCCTTAACCATGGCTTTGTTCCACCTTTAAACAAAAACATTGACTACCTTGACCGATCTTTAAATGGACTAAAGCCCGCCAGTTCATACCTAACGTACCGACCTAGTGCTTCTGCTCCGGGAGCAGGGATTGTAGCCTTGCTCTAGGTTCAATTGTCACACGACAAATGCAAGTTCATGAGCTATCCATAGCATGATTCGTGAATGCGTGGCCATTTCATGTTATCAGCCTTTCATATGCCCAGAGATCTCTGAAACTAGGATAGGATAGGATAAGATAGGACCCAATGGCTCGGTACCGTATCTCCACGTTAATCGCGCCAGGATCTGTTCCGTTTTAGGAAAACAAACAAACTGCCATATTCGACAAAGCATATCATGATAAAAGTGATACATGTTTGCAAAGAACAGTTCAAGAACCCTAGAAATCAGTCCATGACACCACTCCATCACCGAAACACTCAACACCGCAGTTCTAGTCAGGTTCCGGTTCGTTTCAAGTAAGAATACATCAGTCTAAATCAACCCTTTTAACCACTCCGTCTTTTCAAATCGCAGCAACCGAATACCGAATCACGTTTCCTGATAACGAGCCCGGGCCTAGCTGATAAAGCACAGACAGCCAAGACCGAGATAGAAGACAAGCAGAGGGTACACTGCAATGGCTACTCGGTTCTTGACAACTCCGCTGCCACCTAAAATGCTGACACCAGCAGCCAGAGACCAGCTGATGAGTACGATATAGATGGGGATGCGAGCGATCCAGTGCAGACCCAAAGCAGACATCATAGCAGCAAGAACCAGAGGGAAAAGCGTATATCCGATGATGCAGACGCTCTGAGCGAAGGAGCTTTGAGCAAGTTAGCGAATGTCATATGAGCAAACCCAGATAGCGAAACATACATGTTACCACCCAACAGTTTGATCTGTAGCGTCACGACAGCCTCACCGAGCCAAATCATGGCAAAGACGCCACTGAATACGGCATCGCGCTGTTCAGATCGAGCGGTGATGCTCAGGAGAACACTTAGAAGTAGACAGAAGATCAGAGGACCCCAGAGATCCCAGTCGCGAAGACCAGGAGTCATGTTGCTCTGGAGCAGAGCCTCAGCATCTACCATACGGCTCGCCAGTCCAGTGAGTTCTTCCCTTGTCCCTGAAAGACCAGCGCCGCGGATGCTGGAATAAGCGCCGCGCAGACCTCCCTCGTTATCAAACATAGTACCGCCCAGGAGATAGCGCGGGTAGAGCACTTCTCTGAGCTTTGCCCAGACAGCGAGCAGGTCGCGCCGCAGTGTATCCCATACGGACTCGTCAATTGTATTTTGAGGAGCTCTTCGGTCTTCTCCGGGGATTCGCGAGGTCAGATAACCTTCGTCCAACGGTCGCGATGATGAGCTGGAGCCAATGTTGCCTGTCAAGGGCTGACGGGCGTTGTTGGTCGCAAGAGGGTCGTCGAAGTCGTTGAGATCGGCTGGATATAGGTCAGTTCCCACGGAGTGTAAAACAGAGCTTTGTATGTTCCGGCAACAATAAGGATCCGGTGGGCGATCTCTTACCATCATCAGGGTCGATCAAGTCGTCCTCATCCTCCAAAGGTGGGTTGGCATAGTGCCCTCGAGCGCTGGAAGCTGACATGATATAAGCTTGATGTAGAGTTTCGCTCGATTTGAACAATCAATTATGCAATGCGAGCTGATGGCGATAGTACCGTGGCTATCTTTCCGGCGTCACAGAGAAGTCGTGGTTTCAAAAGTGTGAAAGCTGATGAATATGAAGCTGACGTACGTATCTCTAGGTAATAACAGCGAAACTTCCACGGTCGCCTCTCCAGAAACGACCCCTTGATGAGAGGTGGCCCAAGCTTCCCTTTCATTGCAGCCAATCACAGCGCCGTCCAGTTCAGGTACGGGCAGGGGGGCCTCAAGGGCGAAGCCATTTCAGTTGGATCCCTTGAATGACAAATAATTCTGATTCAAACACGCATTTACTATTCGAGAAATGGAATCATTTGTTTGAGGAGCAAGGGAAATCAAAATATATTAACCACCTTCCAAGTTTTTCCTAATTCATATTGTCTGACGAATCCAGCTACGCCATCTCATTTCTCCTCACTACAACATCAGTGCGACTCAGAGCTTCTTCAAGGTTAAGACCAAACAGAAACAAGCCTACAGCCACTGAGCTCTTTGAGTTACAGGCAAAGTCAAAGCTCATGAACAAACACACCATTCAACCCCTTCCCCTCTCATTGCCTTTGTTCAATATTTCATGATCAATGATATACGTCTCCAGAATACTTTCGAATAGGTCCTGCCTCGAACGGCACTTAATGCCATCCGTTTGTAGGATTATGGTGATCCTCGGCTGACGTGGTGGGAACTTGAGGGTTTCCAAGCCAATGCTGTCCATCGCTCCACTGGCTTGGATGTTGGTTCACTGAAGAAGCCGTCATGTTGGAAGGATCCTGATGGTGTTGACGGTTGTTCTGGGCAAATGCTTCTTGGTTGCGCTGATGAGCTGATGGTTGTGAATACCATGGATTACCATGGCCATTGGTTGCATGGTTCTGATATCCCAGACCAGCCGTACTGTAGTCTGCTGTTCCCTCCATCGAAAACTCAGTTGACACCGAGTCCTGCTGATGGAGCGATGGCTGCTGTCGTTGGGCCTCTTGAGCCCATCGCTGAGCAGCCTGGTTATAAGGCCCTTCGTATGAGGCGTCTCCTGCTTCAGGGTCCCATATGGGAAGACCGTCGGGAGGTTGAGCCTCTCCTGACGGCTGGCCATGACCATAAGATGCTATGTTTCCGTTGATACCCACAAGGGCCCAAGCAAATACAGCAACATCTCTAATGGATTGCATGAGCTGATCCATAGGCGGCCCACCGGCAGCTTGGATACCGCTTCGCAATGGCATATGGTGTGGGGCATATGGAGCTTGGAAATTGTGAACAGCCTCGTGAGGATACCGGGGATACACAGGTTGTTGCGCCCAAGGAGCAGCGAAAACACCGTGGTCGAAGGTAGAAGGAATTTGGGGAGGCTCAACACTGGGAATCTGAGGTCTTGCTCGGCGGAGGATGACGACAAGACCGTCAGAGGTACATGAGACGACCGCTTCCAACTCGATAGAAGGTGCCAACTGTCGTGCTGGGCGGCTACGCGATCTGCGTGCTTGGGGTGCGTTGTCCTCAGGTGGTGGCGGCGACTGTGGTGTGAGAGGAGTCTGATAACGAGTAGCTCGTGAGCTAGAGCCCAGAGCATTGGAGCTCGTAGTGCGGGATTCACCTGATATTTCGTTGGAAGTAATGCCATCCTGCATGTCCACATCGGGTTCTACCTTGATGGAGGGACCTGCTGAGCCCCGGTGGGCGTTGGAGTTCGAATCGAGATCCATGGCACCATCGAGCTTAACACCACCTCCCTCAGAATCGCTGGAGCGGCGGCTCTCGGCACGTCGTTGCTGGTTCGGAGCCATCAAGCCGCTTCCAGATCCATTCTGGTCTGGGTACGGGCTGTTGGTGGTGCCGTTTCTAAGGTGACGAGGCCCCTCGCTTTCATTTCGCCCATTAACTCCATCAATTGTCGACTCTTCATCGACATTGCTCTCTTCTTCCTCGAAGTCTTCGGGTCGTCGTGGATCTCGGGACCAGAATCGCAAGTAAGCAATGGAATCATTGGCTTTTGCACTCTCAATGCACTTGAGTGCATCATCCAAGCAGGTCTCTCGAATGCATTCGTAGAAGCTTTTATGCTGGACTTGGTCGGCAGGAACCCCGAGGATGGAGGCGACAGCATCGGTTGCAAACATAATAGTCAATGTTCTAGTAAACCGATTAAGGATAAGAGCAGCTCGGGGTTCACGCTCTACAGGTGGCAACCTGAACTTGGGGGACAGATGTTGTAACATGTGATATCGTGGGTCTCGAGGGGAGCGTGAGAAGAGACGCCGGACTTGTGGTGCGTCCAGAGCACGTCCTACATTAAATTAATATATGCAAAAGGGTATATCAAATGGGCAAGGTAACTGCGGTGAACATACTCTCACTCTTGGCATCACGCCGGTAGATACTTATACAAGCAAAAATAATATCGTGGACGATTGAGAAGCAGCATTCACTGCTTACCCAACGACCATCACGAGAGCGAAGACGTGCATAGTGCAGGACGGCAGCCTTGTCCAGCAAGACACCGCGACTATGGACGGATCGCGCATATGGAATTTCATCCGGATGAAAGAACTCGAAAGCAGACTTATTGATGACGTCCTGTGGAGAGTATCCAAGAATTTCAAAGATGGAATCAGACGCGTAAAGGATATTAGCGTCCGGATGTAAATCTGGGTGAAAACGTGTTAGTGAAGGTTTGGGAGAGAAGAGACTGGGACAGAGATAACTCACTATGTATAGTCAAGAAAGTATGCTCCATGGAGATGACGGTGCAAGAGCAGCGAGCTCCGCAACGAATTGGCCTGATAGTAAAGTTCTAGTTGAAAGCGAGAGATAGCAGTATGCAGGCAGGGCGTGTCCAGTGAACGTTGGCTAATACCAATCGATAGTCACTGGAGAGGCGAATATTGGATGATCGTTCGAGATCAGAGTTTAAGCGAGTGCACGAAGGGACTCAACAGCGTATAAATCAGAGTCGAGGAACAGAAGAAGTGATGTAAGTGGGTTGAAGGTCTCCCACCATCGATAGGTCTAACTCGCTAACTTGAGATAGTGTCTTTTGGCGTCAACTGCCAGAGTGGATCTAGAGGCGGGTAGTGGAAGATATCTTGGACGACAGGGCACGGACGCGGTAATCAAGTCCGAGGCCCTGACAGATATGGGTTTTAGGGACTAGATAGGGACTAGAATAGAAGTACAATGTTTGGGAGTTGCTCAAGATGAGGCAATTGCTGATCTGGTGATACAGATCACGAATCTCTGAGGGAGAAACCGAGGTTGACGATGATGGACAAAGTTGGAGAGTACTTTGGTCAAGTAAAGAGATGCTTGGGCACTGAGATACCTAGCAGTTATAGATTTCTCTCTATGGTGCCTAAGAGCACTGAGGAGAATGAAGAATGAGAATAAACTGAGTTGTTGCTGCTGAGATGAACAAGTGCGGGCAGCACAGAGATATATGAAAAAAGACCAAGAGATGGCTGTCAACTGTGAGCCAGGGTTGTGCACGAATCCAGTCTAGGGACATAGCCCCGGAGCAACGCGCATCCGGGAATGGGGAACTCAACAGTGTTGTCTCTGTATCTGTATGTGAGGCTCGACAAAAACAGGGAGTGAAAAATGAAAAATGAAAAATGAGATTCTCCTCTGGGCTTAACCGGGGGCTTGACGAGTCAAGGTTGGTTGGTTGGTTTGCGATGAATGTTTGCTGTTTAACAAGCAGAGGTTGTCCACACTCGACGTCACAGCTGAAAGATTTGTTAGTTTAGTGCTCGACTATTGTTTGAGTCCAGTCCTGGTCTTTTGACTTGGCTTTGAGCTGTTCCTGAACTCCCTGGACCCCAAATGATATCGTCAACGATATACTCGAGAGACAATGTTGTTGTCGAAAAAAGATCGTCATCCTCAAGTACCTCGTCACGGAGGCTTATGCACCTGAGACAAGGTTCTTTGCAAGGTATATTCCAACCCCATCACACAAAAGCTCAAGGCTAGGAGGGACACGAAATGCCACTTGCAGCGATGGTGAAGAAACCCCGAAGTTCGTCGGATGCACCGTTGACGGGCGGCGGATTTACCGTTTGTATGTAGGTACAGTACCATCCTGTACCTCGACTAGGGAGACTCGAAATGAGGCTGCAGTTCTGGAGGGTGGCCACGATGCTTTACTGGGTTACGTATGTAGTCTTGGTCTTGGAAAAAGCAAAGAAGCTCAACGCCATCCTTGACACTCAATGGCCGAGTTTTGAGAATAGAGACAACAAGAGTCTCTCTGCTGCAGGTTTATCCGGTTCGGTAACTCAATGAATGGAGAAAACAATTGGGACAACCAACCAAGCCCACCAACCCTTGAAAAGCTGAAAGGAAATGGCTTGCAGTCCTCATTGTTCGCATGACTCGAAGGTCCGTGCAAACTTTTGATGGGTTTGTCTGCTCTCGGTACATATTCTCTCTTTACTGTGGCTTTCTTTTTGATGGTGGGGAAGGGAATGAGGAATGACGTTGAATAGAATGACGAGTAAGATCAACGGCCATCTACGGAAGAGGAATAGTTGTCAATCGCTGAAAGAGGGGGACCACAATTAATCGCCGCTCCGATGTCGAAACAACAGAGCTTAAACAAGGATCGAGCTTTTTGTGCTCTCAATCGAGGAATTGGCTTTGTTTTCTCCGATACTTTCCTCAATTATCACTCAGGGATACATCAGCTACTGCACATAACATACAATTCAGTGTTTCAAGATGAGGAATAACTTCTACAGATAATACAGGACTATTGTACCCGAACCAGCATATACCTCTCGTGACACAATTCTTTGTTGCCTCATCTATAATAGGTAGTCCACAGCATAGAACAAGAAACGTCCTATCTCTACCTATCTCTCAATGAATACTAATCGTCACACTTTTGCATGACCAGATACTTCGTTTTGTCTGTTGTGCCACAATATGCCATGCCCCCATCCGTCTCAGCATGCCGTATCCCTCGAAACTTCACGCAACAGCGTTATCACTACGGAGGGAGCAGCCGTTGTTGCTTTTGTGGCCACCTCGATAATGCTCTGCTCCCAGGCAGGTATCTTTGAGGGCGTGCCCATCGAAAGACCCGGTCTTGGTGCTACTGTAGTCTAGGGGCCGAAGCCCATTCTTCAAGCGCGGGATCTGGAGGTCGTCGGTTGACGGCGCCTTTCCCGTCGCACAACCCTTTGGATAACTGACAACGAGTGGCTAGGTCATTTCGCCCTTGCCCAAGCCATAAGGGACCAGTGGACGGATGACTTCAATCCCGGCCCAGCCCATCTCTTGATGGAGCACCGTCTGATACTGCAAGACAGTCCTTGTGTCCCTCACTAGAAGTTAGACGAAATTTATCGGGAAGTCGTTGCGAGGACCCTTGAACACCCTAGCACGTCAACGCCCGTGCTGCCATGGTGGGTGGCTTGGTGTGCTCAGTTGCAAGTCCCTGCCTGACATTTATGATCGACAACTAGGACCCTCGATAGTGAGGCTAGCGTGACGGAGGCTTGATTGGTAGCCATCCATTCTTTGTGCATCAATGCTACTCTGGCCCTGAAAATGTAGCCAGTAGTCACGAGAATGCAGGCTGAAAGTGTGTTTGCTGAGATGGCTCCGCATAGCAACCTGAATTGGATATCGAAACTGGCAGATATCATGAGCGTCATTGACAATGGAAAGTCTTCAGATGAAGCGTACAGCTTCTAGATTTACTCATGGTCATGGGATCATGCATCAATGCTACACACAGGATTGCGAGACGGATACGAGGCAGAGACACGACGATGCGGGTGTAATGAGTGACTGTGCGTCAGAATGACAGTGAGTTCCCTCAAAACACCACGTTTGGATCGGATACGATGAGATCAGGCACTCGGCTGTGCGAGGTGGTGATGAGGTAGGTGAGATTCTGTACATCTCACAGCTCCGCCATTTCGAGGTGTATGGGTAACAAGATGTCTCAGCTCACGACATTCGTTTCTGTGGTGCATATCAAGACTCATACGAGGCACCAAGAGGGTAGATGCTCTACTTTTGTCTTTGATATGCAAAGCCACAAAGCTCTTGGACTTGGAAGCTGGTGTTCCTGAGGTAACAATTGCGCAACTGACTTTGAGAATGATTCTGCGGTGCTGCAGGTTCTGCCATGGAGACTGGATCTAGGATGTGAACGACATGGAATAAGAGGAATGATTGGTGATAGGTATGTAGTGCAAGAAGACGTTTTGAAAGAGCACAGTATTCTGTAACCGGGAGGAAATGCTCCATGGCCATCACGATCCATCTCTTGACATTGATAATTCGAACTAACCTAAACCTAAAGCAAGTTGGTGGCCGTTGAGGCGTACGTTAGGTACCTGTCATTGGTCTGCGTACCGTAGTCTGATGTTTCACTCCTCAGCCTATTTCTATAGAATCAAATTTCAGACTGTCTGATGGTAGAGTATCTGCTTGTTGAGATTTGGTGAAGTATGGATGAGAAGGAGCCTGAGGTGGGAAGAAGAATGGATTGCTTCGCCAATGAAAGCTCCCGCTCGTTGATTCAACCAACCAGAGCCTGCGCTTGCTTAGCACTCAGATCCACTCTTCCTACTAAGTTACCTTAGTCGCCGCTCCTTCTTTCGACAACATCAACTAACGTAGCATCATTCAACTCGACGCGCACCGCGTTAATGATTCTTTTTCTTGATCCTGGATTTTTGACGTGAACGGCGAAGCAAGATAAATGGTGGCTTTTTAACTATATTTATTAATTCTGATATTCGCGAATCAGACTTCAAGATTTTGTTTCTTTTCTGCTTGTCTCACGACGCTGCTCCTGAGTTCTCGTTAACGGCGTTTACTTAGTTGTCAACCTCTCAACCTCGCATCCCAGACTAAAAGCCTTCAAGGAGACAACATCAGGCAAGCAAGCAGTTCTTGTCTACGCGCCCAAAAGGAGAAAACACCTCTCGTCATCTCGCCGCGATTCTCATCCTACCCTGTGTGCAACATTGTGAGGCCGTATCTAAGATTCGTCGCCAAAACATAATTTTCAACGGTTGCTATTGATTAGCCAGCCAGTATGGCTATCACCGATGAGAATGCGTTTGAGCTACCCAAGCTTCGTTCCTCGTTCTCGCTAGAAGTAATCATCAACAAGCCCCATAGAGTCTTTGAAACTAACAAATGCAATAGAACGATACAGAGTTTCTCGAGAATGACAACGTTGCTGGTATAACCCCTTTTTTCATTTCACTCAATAGTCAATGCATTGTCTTTTCTAACGCGAGAACTATCTTTTCTGAAACATAGAGTTCTTCGATGTCAAGTTCTGTCCCTACCAGCCGCTTGATGCACAACCTGTCTTTGCGGCTATCAGCAAAAAGCATGTAAGTCGCCCCTCAGCCTGTTCAACTCTGACGGAACGAGTTCTCACACGTGCCCAGGTGGTTATCTGCACCCTATCTCAAACAGCTGACAACAACCCATGCGAAGTCCTCTCGGTGATCAGAGATGATGATGTAGGTATTGCTAAATGTGCTCTACCTGCCCATTGCGGTTTGATAACATTGTCTAGGAAGAGGCTTCCGCATGCTGTTGTACTTGGACAAAAGATCCCGTAACAGGCGCCCCCTACCTATGCATTGGTGGAGTCGATGCCAAAGTCAAGATCTATGATGTTGTGAACGGGAAACTATACAGGGTATCCTCTATTCCAAGGAAATGCTGTGCAATGGCAGTCGCTGACTCTTTCTTGCTTGATTCTAGTGCCTGACCGGCCATGGAGGTGTTAGTTCATCAGCTCCAATTTGTCACGCCTTGACACAGAAACTCATTTGAAGCAGGATGTCAATGATCTAGCAACTTCGCCTGCAGACCCGTCTATTATCGCCTCCGCTTCTGGTGACACGAGTATTCGTGTCTGGAGTCTTGACCCAGTTCACGCAAACCGGCCCTGCTTGGTTATACTCGCCGGTGAAGGCCATTCATGGGATCTTCTGAGCTTGGTGAGATTTTTACTAATTTCGACATCGACTTCCTCCTGAATGCTGACAATTGCTGATAGGCTTTCCATGACACTGGCCGGTACATTCTGTCCGCTGGACATGACCAGATTATCAACCTGGTAACTATGTTTCAACAAGCTTCTGGCGGACTTTTCTAATTCATCAAAGTGGACGCTCCCAGATCTTCCCACTGAGGCCATCACAACCCCTGTCCGTGTCCATTACCCTCACTTTTCGACCTCAGCAGTCCACAGTGGTATCATTGATTGGTAGGCCCTGTGCTCATATCTGATGATCTGGATGCTAACACGGTATAGCGTGGCCTTCTATGGTGACTATATCCTATCTAGGGCATGTCATGACAATGTTATCTCGCTTTGGAGAATAGAGGGTTTCTCTTCTGCAAACCCTCCCCCTCCCCAGAGCATGGCACCGACAGCTCAGACAACTGTTCCAACCAATTACGATGAGGCGAGCCGTCTCACACGTTCAGCGTTTGTTCCAACGATGTCTCCTCAGTGCCCTTCTCAGTATACCATGCTGCTCCAGTTCCATACCCCCAACTGTGGCCCGCAGTTCTTCATGCGTTTTAAGTTACATTTTGTGCCGGACCAGCATCCAGTTTTAGCATTTTGCAATGCAGGTGGAAACGTTTTCTTTTGGGATTTTGAACGTTTGTTAGCGTACCGAGAGTTCATGGAAATGCTCAAGGACCCAAACAAGGACAGGAGTAAACCAGTCCCCCATCCAAGTTGGATGAGGCTTGTGAAGGGTCGACCCCCCAAGACGGACTCTAATAAAGGCCGGAACGCAGGGGCCGACAAGGACATTCCGAGCGCCTTCCGAGCAGACGCAATCAGGCTGAGTGAAGAGATTGGTGACTATAACGCAGAGACCCTAGAGACCTGGGCGTCGAGGTACAGTCAAGAGGATCCTCATGAGCCATTGAAGGCACATAAGACGGAGTCTTCATCTGCCAATTTTGTGGGTCGACAGGCAGCTTGGAGTCCCGGAGGAGAGTGGTGTGTCGTGGTGGGAAGCTCAAATCAGGCATTGATCCTCCAGCGCTGGGCTAACAAAGGGTCAACATCAAGAGCATCTGCCTCTGCCTCTGCCTCTGCCTCTGCCCCTCCGTCCGCTCCCCCATCTGCCCCTATCCAAAACGGCACGAGTTAGTATGACAGCCGAAGGATGCGTTGATCATCAACAAGACTAGAGACCCCTAATCGGTAGACTTGAGTATAGTGGAATAGAAGTATCTTCCTCGACATCACCTGAAGGGTTCAAAGCATTCCATGCAGCTTTGTCTAACTCGCCTCCATATGTGATTATTCTCTCCAGATGGTTTCGGGCACTCTCTTGTTCCATTAGTCTTGCTTTCTGCCCTTCTTCAGCCTGAGACTGCGAGACTGGGCTGATGGGAAGGATCAGATCTGCAATGTAAAAAGAGGCCATGGCTCGTAATCGAAGATAGTGTTGATTCCTTGAGTAAGGCATATCCTGCATCACTACATCCATCCTCTTCGTGATATCCTTCATGATGGATAATGCCTGGACTCGCAGCTCGTACTTTTTGTGAAGCTTCCCCGTTTCAACGCTGTCTGTTTCGTCACTTGCGATGCTTTCATCATTGCCGAAAGACTCTCGGCGAGGATCTTCATCAATCTCGCTCTCCAGCCGATCTAGGGCCAGTATATGTTCGGTATGCGTATTGTAGATTTCACAGCTAAACAGAGCAATCCAGAAGTCCAAGGCTGAGACGACCTTTGGGGTCTTGTAGTCATAGGGATGCTGCTGGATCAGGGTATCGAAATAGGCCTTGACCTTGTTCATATTGGCAGCCCGGCCCCATCTCTTGGTAGATTTCGGTTGATTCTCATGTGAGCTTTCATCTTGCTGTAAAGTATCTTCACCCTCACGCATGAGAATTTCTGCGCCAATGGCCCAGAGATCATGATGCCGAATATCGATAGGGAGACCAGACGGACGCAATTGTAGAATAAGGCCATACGCGCGAGATGCCTTAGCTATCTCTCCTCGATCAAGAAAGTAGTGAATAGACTGCAAGAGAACATCAAAATGGCCGCCCCGTTTACGACTTGTGGATTTCTTAGACTTTGGGCGCGCTGCTTCGTCTCCTTCTGTCTCCGGATCTTCATCACTCTCAGCTTCAATAGAAAAGGCTTCATTCGATGAGATGCCGCGATGCGGAAAGTCGCGTATGCGTCGTGAAGGGTTCTCTTCCGTTTCTGAGAGGCCAGCGATAGCGAACTGGGCAACTACACCAGGAGAATGGCTGAGAGGGTTGATGGAGCTTTGGGGCAGTGAGCTTGGAAAATCGGCATCTGTTGTTTCTGGCCGCTTGCGTTTATTTGATCTTGTTTGCTGTGAGAATGATGGCGGATCGAGTAAGGAGTCCATTTTGTGGTGGAATTTTGAGTGATGCTGAGGTTGATGCTGGTCGATGTGAAGTCTTGAAAGTCTTAGTAGGTAAGGCACAAGGCCCCACTGATGTAGCTTATATCGTTAATTCGAATTGTAGAAAGACAAACACTTCGGCTGCAACTGTCTTCATACCTAACTTGACGCGATGAACAAGCAGGAAGAAAACTGAATGCACCTCAGCTTAGTGAAGGCGAAGCACGTTAAAATGCCGTTAGATGTTAATACCATGACTTCACATCCCAGTTCATCAGTAAAGCTCTTAGGTTCATTTCTATTGACCCAATCACAAAGCTCAGCATAATCATCCTATGTACATAAATCCCCTCTACTTTTACAATTGCTTCATCTTCTGCTGCTGGCTCTGTTTAGATTCGGTCAAAGTAAGTCCACTGACCAGGGGCGGGCTTCTCCTCGAGATCCTCCCAGCTATAAGCTATTAGTAAGAATTCCAGACTGTTGATATAATCGTCGCAACTTACACCTTGGACTTCTCCATGGTCTCAACTAGCTTAAGCTCGCCCTCGGCGACTTGAATAACTTCCTCGATAAGGCCAGCTCCGATCTTCTGCTCGAGCTCGTGGACCCTGTCGTGCGAATTAGCGTGCCTGTCCGAGTTCCGGTTATGAATGTCCAGAAATAACGTACTGGTCGGCAGTCATCTGAGGCTCATCCTCCCATTCAATCTTCTCATGATCCTCAAGAGGCTTGCGCTCTGCCCAAGTAACCTGGTCCTCTCGCTCCCTTTGTGTTCGAATTCCCTCGTACTCAGGACCTTCATCCTCTTCGCCATTCCACTCCTCGACTCGGATATCGCCCGCCTCGTGCTTTCGGCCCACCACAAAGATCTTGTCGCCGAGCTTAACAGTGTGAGCCTCGCTGCCGTCAACGCGGCCGCTGGCCACTCGGAACTGAGAGGAGTTCTTGCTGACGAGCTCCTTGGCGCGAACCGCCCACTCGTTGTAACCTGGAGGAATCATCTGCTCGACGAGGGACATGCGGTGCTTGGTGACAGCCTCAACGGATTGACGGTACATGGAGGTCTCGGGGATGCTCTGGAGCTTGCTGAGGGTTGTGCCGTACAGGTAGAGGAGGGTCGATCGTGGCGTGGCATGAGTCCAAAGACCAGTGAGACCGGTGGGAGTACCGGCCTCTAGGTAGCGTGCAAACACACGAGCTGTTGGCCTCATCCTGGCGAGGTCAATTGCAATTGCTTCGTCGTGACTTAGTTGACGGGATGGTCAGAGGAAATTGAATTGACCTCATTGGACTCTAGCCCCCAGCATTGACGATCCAGAATGCACGTGTGTGCTCACGTGACTCTTCAACATCGTCATGACGAGTCAATGCCAGATGATAGGTACCTTATGTAGTTGTAGTTAAAGATATTCACCACGGCCAGGGAAAACTCAGGATTTTGCATTGACAATATGTCGCAGTATTGCATGTCAACTATTGATCGAGATCATGCAGGTCTAATATCGTTGAATCCATTCACACCACATCACCAGGTCTCTACATCTTAGAGCTAGCAATAGACTCATAAAGTCCGTTGCAAGTATAAAGAGAAAAAAGAAGCCCTCAAATCTTGAGTTGGTTGATATCTCAATACCTGAATCAAGACAATATCTTATACCTTCCAGACATATGACTTGGATCTTGACGTAAGAAAACTGAAAAAGAAACACAGCACGCGTTGCGTTCGCTCATATCATGGACGTAAAGTCCGACTCGGCGTTTGCATGCCGCGTGTCTGAGCGACGCATAATTAAATCACACATCCCTTTGTCACTAACTTAAGAAGACTCCTCGCGGCTCTTTCGGTAAGCGGCCTATAGCACAACATGTCAGCCCCTTTCTACGTGTCTATGCTCAAAACCCAGAGGCACGACGCACTTCTTGCTCAGACTGGAGGCCCTCGATAACGGGGGCGAGCTCGGTGAGAATCTCGTATGCCTTCTTGTGGTACTCAATCTGAGCGGAGACAAGTTCGGCAAGGTTGCGCAGGGGCTCAGGTGTGTCAAGAACCTAGTTTGGTCAATACGGTCATGCTTGATGCTCGACTGTTTCGGGTGTAAACTCACATTCTTCATGACACCAACGGCCTCCTCGGTCTGAGTGACAAACTCGTCCTCAGCCTTCTCGATTTCCTCCTGGGCCTCAGGGCTCAACTCTTGCTCCTCATGGGGCTGGTCGCCATGTGCATGGCCGCCCAGCTTGAAAGTGGTACCCTTGGCGTGAGCTTTGACGGCATCCAGGGAGAGGCGAGAGTTCTCAACGTTCTTGCGGGCGCGGGTAGCGAAAGTCAAGTTGGTGTTGAGGGTAGTGTTCCAACCGGCGAGGAAACGGCTCTGGATCTGGGCATCCTGGGCAAGACGAGCCTCACCAACACGCTCGCTGGCAAGCGCATACTTCTCCAGGGCGGTTGCGAGGGGGTCCTCTCCGGCACCGGTGTGGTGCTGGTGGAGGAGCTGGCTGCTAGCCAGACTGGCGCGAGCGACAGCATGGCTGAATGTCTTAGGCTGAGGCTTGGCGGCAGGAGGAGCGACGAGGGCAGCCTGAGCTTCGGCGGGAGAGGTAGCAGACGAGAGGAGGCTGACCTTTTCGCTGACGGTGCGACCAAGATCCTGGAAAGTCTCCTTGATGTTAGGGGGGTAGTCGTAGGCCTCGTTAGAGTACTGAGAGCTATAAAAGCATGTTAGATCACCAACACCCCTAGCATGTGATGGCGCAGACAGATATCCGGTGGACTTACGTCACAGCAAGCATCTTCTGGTGGGCTTGCTTGAGGGCATCGACGCGCTTCTCGAGATCGATGTAGTCAGGAGGGAGTTGGGTCTGTAGGCCACATGTAAGAATACCAGCTGCGCGATAGAGTGCAAAACGGCTCAACCCACCTTGTCCTCAGTTTGACCGAACTGCTCCTTGGTGTACTGGAAGGTGCGCGACGCAAAGGGGGTGATAGAAGCCCCAAGGTTGCTATTTGAACATGGTGAGCCTGAGGTTCGATCACGGCCAGCACTTGGAGGAACAAGATTGCGCAACTGTGCTATCTTGTTAATTCCAGGGGAGCACATACGACAGGTTCTTGCCAAGGTTGGTTCCAAAGTTTCCGAAATCCATTGTGTCGGTTTGTCCGGGATAATTGAGTATTCGATCGATTGTTTGATGCGAGGTCGATTGGAGATTTGGAGAAGTAAAAGGGGGATGTTATGTTGCGTCAGCGTGGATTGAGGCAGAAGTAGGTAAGGTAAAGGTAAAGGTCAGGTAGGTATGGATGATTAGAGATATGGGAACGCTGTCACAAGAGAAAACCCCACAACAGCAGCCCAGGTACTGTAGCTGACTGGAGCCTTGAGTTTTTCCCTTTTCCAGGGGCTCGAGGGGCTTACAGGCTCACCACCTCACAGGCTGGGTCCCCCTCCTTACAGTTGAGTCCAAGCATCCCAGAGCATCCATTTAAAACGGGCCCGCCACATACCTTGTCTAGGCGAGTGCAGATCTCGAAAGGTGGCCCTAGCTCTTCTGATACAGCAAGGTACCGATACAAAACTCCCTAATCATCAGCCACAACTTAAGGGTAGCTCAGATCAGCCGCTACCACAAGAACTAATAGTTTTCTGCCTACAAAGATAAGCCGCTTTGATGACGAGTCCTCTTGCGAGTCCCTTTTGCAGGGCGTTTTAACACTCACAACAAATCTGAAGCAGGAAACCCCAAGTGAGAGGGTATCTATCGATCTATTGATAATTGTGCTGGGATAAATTATAGATCCGATGTTCTTTTAGACTCCGTAAATATTGCTCGTTCAAAATACCTGTTCCGCCTCTTCCTCTTTGAATCGTATGAAAGCTCTTTACTCTCATCAATCAATCCAAAATGTGTTTATTGTCAGCCCAAGAAGGCTCGACTCCCCTGCATACCGATTCATAATCTCGCAAAATAGGACTTTGGTTGTCCAAATTGGGTGTTGTCCAGAACATAGTCCAGTTGCACCCAGACAACTTACTGGTACCCAAAGAACGCTCAAAATACCACTTGTTCACCGGATTATCCTTCCTACTTCTCCACGATACACCATCGGGGAGACAGCCTCGCACCATGGCGTTGAAAACAATATCAGCGCAACCACCACTGCCCTGGCTCTTCCTCAGGACGGCGAATTTATCTAGATATGGAACGTAACGGCCTTGCTCGTACGCGGTATGGTCGTCCAAGCCTTCGGGCTTCTCCCATGTCAGGATGGCCCCTCCTTCGTATTCTCCAGCGATGATCACGCCGGCCAGATTCTCGTTGACTCTATTGAGATAGTCATCCACATCCAGTTTTCTGCCAAATGAGTCCTCGATGAGATGGACCAGTCGAGGGAGGTCGATGCACTTATCGGTCAACCGGAGTCTGGGACTTCCAGGCTTGGGCGGAACCCATGGATTCTCCCGAGGGTGAGGGAATACTCGAAGAGGCATACCCTTTTTAAGTAGAGTCGAGCCTCCAGATGCCCCCACGGTGGGTTCCCTACCAGAATTCGTTGGTGCGCGTGCCATCGGGAGGGACGACGAGAAGACGGGCTTGTCTGTGAGAAGGTTGTGCAGTAGTGGATTTTTCTTCCTCCGAGTTGTTACTATACCACCGATTCCAAAGAGAGAATCGGATCCGGTAGCTTCGTTGGGCTCAAATGACGTTTTCATAAGATTGGCCGCAGCATCAGGTGTAGTAATGAGAGCAGATGAAGTATGTGGTAGCATCGCCAAAGCATCTTTAGCAAGGGCCAAATTCGCAGCATGTGCAGTGATCGAGGCGCGGAGGTCCTTGTCGTCTGCTAGGGGGGATCCGTCAGGGCCCATGAGCTCTTTAAGAATCGGTTCATATTCTTGTTCCAAGTTAATGAATCGATGGGATGCACCAGGCCGGCCGGTCATTGGTGTTGCTCCAAGTGGATCAAGAAGAATGATTCTCTCCACGAGAGCAATGGGTTTTGGGGGGGCAGCATCGGCCTCAGCAGATGTGTCAGTGGTATTGGACTGCACGCCTGCAAAGTACCTAGTGAGAGCTAGCACGATTTGATTTGAGTCGACAGGCTGGGGCTGACGGGTCTCATCGCGGCTGACCACTGAAGGGATAACCGGCATCATGCGGTGGTGCAAAATGTGGTTGATAAAAGCAGGATCGTCAAGTCGGATATCAGTCGTCTGTGGTCTGCCCTTCTGTCCGACAGGTTCCGAGCACACAAACGCATGCTTTACGACACGAGCCCCATGTTCTCCGAAGCTGTCAATGGCTTCGCAAAGGCGGAAAGCCTGGTCTTGGAAAGTCATGCGAGATTCATCAATGCCACAGTCAATGACTACGACGCTCAAGAGCCCGAGCTTGCGCAATTGAGACAGCGTATTTGCTACTCCCACTAGAGTTGTGGCATCGATCTCTTGTGGAACACGAAGCTTCATGATAGCAACATGCGGAGGCGCCATGTCTAGGGGCTCCGTTTCCTGCTGCGGATCACCCTGGACGAATAGAGGTGCATCGGTGAGAGACTTTGGGTTCTTGCCGGTGTACTTCTGAAGATATCCTTTGGCATCTCGCTTGGTTGCCGATACCTCCAAGACGGAGACAATGAAGTCCTGGTATTAATTAGATAAGTCGTGCAGTAAGTAAGTACTAAGTTTTAGGTGACATACTCTGTCGATGGCCTTTTTCTTGGCAAGTGCTGTAGAGGCTGCCGACATGCGACGAGTGGCACCTTTGCCGAGACATGGCAACGAGATGCTGTTGCCGGATTGCGAAGCAAAGCCGCGATATCGGGATCGAATTGGGGTCGCAATGCTATGTGAAGATGTTATGAGGCGTGAGTCCGTAGATGGTGCACAGTGGCCACATCGAGGTGCCTGCTTCAACACGCGGGGCCAGCTCATGATGTCCGGCAGTGACGACTTTGTGCCTGGTTCTTGGCAGGCCGGTGTAGAATAAGGTAATAAAAGAACTTCGAATGAGTCTTCGTATTTAAAACAAACACCTCCCCCGAATGACCTGCAATTCAATATAATATAGGAGGCCGTAGGGGGAGAAGGTCCAATGTTAACTGCAGAGCATCCCTGGGCAGGGAACCCTAAATGGGGGAAAGATGCTAGAGAGCGGCAGTGACAATGCTCTGCTTTCTCGTGAGTCAAAATTCAACGAGACGAATGGAACCGGCACCTAAGTTATCAGATGCCCGGGTAGTGGAGGTGTAACAACTTTTTTTTTGGTTGGCGGCATGTGGGCGATAAGCTGATAAGCCCCAGATTCAATGCCGATGTCGCTGAAGATGACGATGACGTTTCATGTGACAAGAGACTAAAGACTTGTGACTATAAGTAAGATATTCTAATAGTAGTGGTAATTAGCAGTAAACAGAAGTTGCTCCTTGTATTTCTTCCATTTTGCAATCGTATGGTTGGTTCTCTTCTCATGAACCAGCTGTGAGTTACCCCTGAGGCTGGACACTTGAATGGCCACTACCATAGCTCACGAAATAAAATATGAAGCTCAACACAACCTGGTTTGACCATTTTCATAGATAATTAGACGTTCAAAACTCCTCATACTTTGAGGCATCCTGATTTTCTTACATATAACGTGGACAGTGCCAACATACAATATCTCCACAGAAGAAATCAGAGTAAAATACAGTGTCTACTATGTAGCACATTGAACCAGCATTTATTTACAATAATGAGTCAGCAGTCCATCTATCGATAGTAGATAGCTATTTTTCCGATACTCTAAGAGTTTCGTCAATAAGATTGTTAGCAGAGAGCACATGTATCCATATCAAGATCTTACCCTACTAAATGCATCCAGAGTGTCTGCTTCGGCCTGAAAGGAAAGAATGTTCTTGAGAAAAAGCACTCCAACACTACCGCATGGAAATAAACTCACCAAACAGATATATCAACCATGCTCTACAGCCTGGAAATAGATGGCTTCCTGTCACATGTAAGTGTGCCCCTACCTCTCGGCATCATGCGGCAGAGGCTGATATTGAGCCTATTAGAACTCACGTTTCAATTCGCAAAAGGAATGAACGGCGTTTTGATGCCGAGTTTCAGCTTTCAATGTATTAAAGCCACAATATTGGACGGCCTGTCCTTAGCGCGAACTGATAGCATTTCAATAGTCTGAATCAGAGCCGATATATCCGGTTCAACTCGAGACCTATCCTACCTTTGAGACTTGCAATCCTTTGACTACAAAATGCTATTTAATAGTTAGGTATTGCTTTAAAAACTGGTAAAAGTGCGAGTTGTGTCCCGCCAGATATGCATAAATAAAAGCATGTTGCTAGAATACTGGCTAATATAGAAATGTAGTTATTAGTTGATGACCGGTATGTGAGAATAGCAAGAAAACGATGTGATGGTTGCTTTTGCAAAGGCTACAATATCTACCGCCACCGTCCTAGCTGAACAGCAAGTCAGAGGCCATTTTCAACGCCATCTTTTCAAGGGTCCAAGGCGAGACCCCAGCTCAGTCATGAGATGAGGCTAGACTGAGGTAGAAGGAGGGAAATATATATGGGAATGTTATTCTCGTTCTGTTATGTTTGCTCTTCTGTATCGGTCTACGCAAATATTCTCTTTCTGTAACGGCACATCATGATCATTACTTCGATAACCACTGCTGAAGTCCGGGTGGTTCTTCGTGTATACTTCCTCGTTGTCCTTGCCCTGACAGGCTTCTTTGTGCGTAGGGTACTCCATGGACGCAACAAGCTTCGTATATTGGGCGGAGATAGCATCCTGGCCACGCGGGCACTCAACTCCCTTGATGGGCTGGACCTTCTACTTGCTCCCCTGAAACTCCGAGCTCTTCCTAGCGGCGCATTCGGCTTCTCCTTCTTACTCTTCTTGTTTGTCTTGGGTAAAGCTGCCGATCTTCTTACGTCCTACCTCGTTGTCAACCACTTGATCCAATCGCGCTGCTCGTTCGGTCAGGGCCTTGTCTTTGACGATGGTACCAAACTTCCCATGCCGCCATTCAACGGACGGCCGTTCCAAGTTGTGCAAAATGCACAGCTTCTGGCTGTCAATAATTCATGTCCTTATGGTATCTACAAGAAGCTAAATACCGACTCAAGCTTCTGTCCAGAGAAGAGAGACATTCTCGGATCATGGAACTGCAACATCGTCAACGACCAGACACCGCAGAGTTGGCCACCCGGAACAAACTCCTCGGATATTGCCGAAGACATGAATCAGAAAGGACTGATATATAACAATGGATACGTTGAACAAACCCAGTGGTCCTCCGGATTCGTTAATCATCTCGTTATCTGGAGCACGTCTGCATCTCTCGACAGCGACGGGTCATTATGGTCTGTTAAAGCAGCCGTCGAAACAACGTACAAGTCAGAGGATGATATCCAACTCACTCCACTAACTTGCTCCGTCTCAGCATCAGGTGCTGAACGAACCATCAAAGACATGGCATCTGGAACGGCTCTGAAAGAATGGGTCCCAACTTTCCAGGGTTTGATGTACAATGGTTTCAACACCTCCGCCATTCAGGACGTACAAGATGCACTGGCAATACTATTGAATACCATGACTATGATATCCGGTGGAAACAACTACCTTCTCGCTGAGCCAGAAGCAGGCCAAGATAAGACCCAGGGATGTCTTGCAAGAGCGGCGTACGTCCCGACCGTTATGGTGGTCATCTTCCTCGTTGTGGCAGGTCTTGGTATTACGGCATTTGTTGCATGGTGCATAACCTCTCTCCGTCTATTCCGATCCCCATCTGAGTTGGAGGCTCTCCCTCTGAGCGCTGAAGAGTGGGCAACCTTTGCAGCGAGAGAATACCTCAGTACTGCGAACAACAATCAAGGCGTTGTCGTGGCACCAGTGGAGACATCTGAGTTGAAGAGCTTCAGAGTCGGATTCTCTCAACCTAATATTGGAAGAATAGGCATGTTCCAGAGAAGGCAAGGGAATCTGTTGAATCAATGAAGTTCTTCGAAGCAATGAATTAGCTATATGTTATTATGTTTACTTCTTCGTGTTTGTATGACACTGACGGATGCTGGATGTCTATACCCCATATTAGCTTACACCTCCACCCAACTGCATTTCATAGCAATGGAACCAAACTCCACATCATTATTCCCGCAGACTTGTTGGTTCTCTTACTTCGAATAATTTATAAGCAGATAAAAAACTATTTATTTCTGACTTCTTCTGCTACATTGTTGTCTGTCTAAATAATCTCAACAGGCTAACTGGCAGCTCTGACGTCTTATAATAATCACCACGACCTAGCTCAACACAATGGCTCCCACACTACTATGGATTGGACTTGGGAATATGGGGAGGGTAAGACTCATCTTGCTGTTTTACAAGACGAACAAATGAAAACTGAATGGTAACAGGGAATGAGCAAGAATATCGTTGAGAAGGGCAACTTGGATGGTCCCCTTCTCTTGTACAATCGTTCATCTCAGAGGGCCACTGACTTCAGTGCCAAGTTTCCGGCCGGTAAGACTGAAGTCGTTGGGTCTCTTGCCGACGGCGTCTCGAGAGCCGATGTCATCTTCTCCTGCATTGCCAACGATGAAGCCGTTCAAGAAACCTTCAAGGCGATGCTTGAGGGAAACGTCAAGGGCAAGCTATTCATCGAGAGCTCAACCATCCACCCAGACACCACCGAGGCTATTGCAAAGGATGTTGTAGCCAAAGGAGCCGAGTTCGTCGCTGCTCCTGTATTTGGTGCTCCTCAAATGGCTGAGGCTGGTCAGCTCGTCGGTGTTCTTGCTGGACCTGCTGCCAGCGTTGCAAGGGCAAAGCCGTGGTTCAAGGGCGTAACTTCCAGCAAGGAGATTGATCTTTCAGATAAGCCTTACAGCAAAGCTTTGACTCTGAAGGTCCTTGGAAACACATTCATCCTGAACATGGCCGAGCAGCTCGCTGAGGCGCACGTTGTGGCCGAAAAGACAGGTCTGGGTACTGAAGCCATCCACCAGATTGTCGACTCGATCTTCGGTGGGCCTTACACTGCCTATAGCCAGCGTATGCTCACGGGCGACTACTATAACCGTGATGAACCTCTTTTTGCAGTTGAGCTCGCGAGAAAGGATGCTCGACATGCTATGAGCTTGGCTGAATCTGTTGGTGTGAGACTTCGAAATGTTGAGGCTGCTGATGCGCATTTGGCAATGGCTTATGAGCATGCGGGCTCATCGGCAGACATGGCTGGAATCTACGGAGCTATTCGAAAGGAATCTGGTCTCAAGTACGAGAACGATGCTTAGACGTTTGTATCTGTGTGAGAAGCTGTGGGAATACCTACTACCTATAAGAAAACATTGCATATACAAACACTCTCAACTATTTGTTTAAGCATGCTTGGTAACAACATCTATATATCGACTTGATGCTATTTACTCAAGTAGGTATATTTATTAAGTAAGGCATTATGAGATTTCAAAGCGGATCTCGAATATCTCGAGGTGTAGGGTAGCTAGCTTGGCGTCTCCGCTGACTCAGCCTGAACCTCACTATTGAGTGATGCAACCAATCCAGCTACAAGCTCTCAATCATCGAATACACCAACCGCCAAACAAGCTCCTGTATCCCGACCTCGACCAAACCTCATTAATCGCACGCTTTCTCCGATCGATATTCTCCTGCCGGCAGGACCAGACTCGAAGCACAACCTCAATCATGGCTCAAGGGTACGCAGCGACGCATTCCCTCCCCTGTAAACGACGCGTGTAAGGTCTAACCAAAGCGCAGATACGCCGTCTTCATCGGCCTCGTTGTCATCGCCGCCCTGTGTGTGGCATCATGGTTCCTGGCTCCCAAGGGCGAAAACCAAGTGTCGGTCTACCCATCCCGTCGATGCGATTTATCGCAGGCCGCTTGCGACAACACAGCTGACCCTTTCTCCTTACAGACTCTGGCGATCCTCTGCTATCCTGGCCATCGTGAGCTGCTACCTTATGTGGGCGATTACGTTCCTCGCTCAACTTCACCCTCTTATTGCGCCGAGAAAAAGCGGTATCCGGGAAGAGCACCTCCACTAGACATCCATCTATAATACACGCCAAGGAAGAGCTGGAAAGATGACGAGGGCTGTTGTGATGGTACAGTTGTAATTTTACATTGTTGGACTTTTGACACTTGAACTGGTATTGTTTTTTTATTACATATGGAGTTGGAACGCCTGTTATACCAAGCCAAAGACGCACTTTGCAGACCATCATTTTGCTTCGGACAATTCCCGTGTGATTACTTGGCTTCAGTGGTAAAAGTCTATCCGACAGCAAGACGGCCTGCCCATTCCTTCGCATACATCAATAACGCCCATAGAGCTTTGCCGTCTGCTGCCACGCCACTTTCACCTATCGAGTCAACGTCGGCAAGACCAGCAGCGAGCAGGACAGCCCGGCCGACCACCCAGCGTGAAGCTGCCCCTGCGATAGCGAGTAGACATGCTATGACATAGTTGCAATCAAGAAGAATGCGTAGTGCCTCGACATTGTTGGCCACGACGGCCCAGCCAAGTGATCGAGCTGAGGCGGGAACATCATAATCCCAGATCACCATCAAGATGGGAAATAGCTTCGTGGAGGATGATACCAGGAGAGCTGTAGACACTGAATTGGGCCTCGTGTATCGAGGAAGGATGCCCAGAAGGTTGAGGGGAGAGAAAGCGGAGGACGTGAGGAAGCGTATGCTCACATGGAAAGCTGCTGTTGAGAGTGCGCAAAAGATGACTTGGGCAAGAGTTAATTTATGATCAGAGCTTTCTTGGGAGTCATCTTACGGAAGAAGAGGTATTGAAAGACAATCGGCTGTTGTGAAAGTTTACCCAAGTTGCTTGCTCCTGGGATGGCATCAGGCACCATCTGCTTCTCCAATCGTGCCCATGTCAAGTACACATCAAAGAGAAGAAGAAGAGTGCCTAGACGGATAACAGAAGGCTAAGAAGTCATCAGTAAGGTGCATATGCCGTAATCTTTATTCATCACTTACATCTAAGCGATCATCGTCTCGCATCAAGGTATTGTATAGTAAATGCCGATAGACCTGCACCTGTTGGTACATGAGAAATCAAAACACGCAGTGAAGGCTCACCTGAGGTTTGATCAGGACTAAATCGATAAAAAGCACGACAAAGTCATGTTCGACATACTTGTCGCAGAAGCGGCCACAGTTGCGGCACACAGTGAGTCGGATATTGTGTCCGCTGGCCTTGTCCCCTGCGCCAGAATATGCAGTCCAGAGCGTCTTGACAGGATGTCTGCATTCAATGCAGATTGGCATATTGCCGCGTTACCAGATCGCTTATAAGGAATGTGAATTAATCAGTGAATTGACTGTGTGTCGTTTGGCTAACACCATATCATGGCCGGTTATGAATAGCGAGTCGTGGTGTTTAAAGTACTACGAGCCACGAAATTGACAGGTACTCGGGAATGACGTGGAGATAAAGGCGCTAGGACAAATGCCACCCCCCTGACTCGACATTCATGAAATTGAAAATCATTGAATACTATCCACCAACCAAGTAGGTAGTCACTGATTGCTTGAGTCACTTATCAATAACTGGCATTATATTTCTGAATTGTGCAATGTTATTGCTATGATTGATCATGAGTTCGAGATCAACCTAAGTATATCTAGATGTACATGATATGTGCAGTCCCAAAACCCATTATAGTTTTAGAAACACCTCAAGTTCTTCAAATTTGTTATAACGTATGCAGTACCGAGTATCCTGAAGAATTGCGAATGCCTCCCAACGCCTCGCAGCTTAAGACTAGCTCCAACATGCAGTCCTCCAACAAACAACGCCTGCTTGTCTCTGCCCAAGCATTTCTACATGATTCTCAGCGATGGATCCATTGAGTTCAAGCTCTGTGGCCTCTCAATCGTCTTTATCGCCCTTTGCCACCATTCGTCCTCGAGCACCCCCCTCGCCTTCACTTCGGCTACTGCTCTTAATCTGTAGCGACTCCATAAGGCTGATCGGTGGTGCCCCTGAAGGACGTCCATCATCACTGCCGGTATCTGTCAATTCTATCAGATCGCCGTTTCGTTCGGGTCTGCTGCCTTCAGGCATTCCTCGTATCCTATCCAGTTGCGAACTTGGCTTGCGTGACAGGGCACCCCTAAGCCACGTCTCTACAGCCGCAGCCGCTTTGTCCAGTCCATTGCCCTGCTGTGTCGAGCCGATTTCTTGGCCCTCCCCTGATGGGTTCTCAACTATGCTCGATGATTCTCCTGATTTGAATCCAAAATGCGCCGTTTCTGAGCCCATAACAGACATGGAGGGTATCCCCTCCAAGGTGAGTCCAGGTAAGTGCTTTTTGGTCCATGTAGTGAGGTAGTCCTTATCTGGACCAGGAGCCCGTGTACTCATGCCCATGGAGCCAACACCGCCAGGCCGACGCATCCAGGCCGGCAAGGTTTCGCCCCCTTCGCTGATCGCACCTCGTCCCGGACTTGACATAACGGTGCCAGAAAGCTGGGGTCGGTGACCGAGGGAGCTCTGGCGACGAGACGAAGTGCCTGCAGATCCAGGAGGGTTACTGTATAGATCAAGGCTCTGCCGGGGCGTCGAAAATGTCGAAACAGTCCTAATGCTCTTCTTTCGTCGAGGCGGGAAGTAACCCATCGCGTTCCTCGCAACCCGTGCAACCTCGACTGGTTGAGGAATTGAGTCAATTTTTACCCAACGTACATGTGTCCACGGTTTATCTTCTTCAGAAGGTTGTGTCGCTGACGGCGTTCCATTAATTGGTCGGCTGAAGAAGTCATCATGAACGGCCGATGAGTTCTCTTCCACCGCAGGTGTTGGCGCAAGTAAGTCGACACTATGGGCGTTGTGCCACGAGGGTGGATCGCATGGCCGTCCTCTCACATCGCAGGCATCAACGGGAATTGTCAGCCATTTGCGCACCTGGATGCTATCTCGTGTCCAGAGTCCATTGGCCTTCCTGAAAGCATCCTCTCGACACTGGTATTTCAAGATTATGCCTGCATATGTATCACTGGGTTCAACCTTGTGAATGTAGACCAGGTATTCTTGAGTCTGGGGTTGTTCGGGAGTCGATTCGTCGGAGTTACGGCGTTTATGATTCCCACTGACATCCAGTCCACCATTGACACCATCATGGCTCTCCAGCACCATGGCCCTTCTCGCAGCCTTCAGAGCTGTTTCCCGCTCTGCCAGCGAGCCAGCGCCCACATCATTCAGGTTGGGTTCCTGGGGAGGAGCTGGGCCCCAAGCACCACCTGTCTTCTTCATACTACCACTGCCAGAGAAGTCCCTGCCCCAGGTCCCAGATCGAGAGCCCGCTCGATTGTGGGACTGAGACCTCCTAGCTGCGCCATTGTCACCTGATAGGAGAGAGGAGGTGAAGCCCTGGATCGAAGCCCAGCTTTGTGTTAGCGAATCGTTGAAGAAGTTGGTCAGATTCGCTGCGCTATTGGTGCGATGAGGGGCACCACCTCGTTCTGAGGGCAGAGGACTCGCGGAGCGGCTGTTGGCAGGGCTAAAAGCTGTCAAAAGGCCGTAGCTCCGCGCAGGAGATGGAGAAGCAGCGGTGTCGTGGACATTGAGGTTGCGGCCGCGGCGGGAGCGGCTGGCTTCCCGGGAGGTCGCAGTGTCACTGTCGTCGTCGAGGGCGCTAGCAAGACGCCGGTTTCGTGGGCGAATAGAGGTAGAATCCGATGTGTTGGCGGGTGCCAGGGCTGATGAGGACCGATGCGGCGAGGGCCGCGCAGAGCGTCTCGGTTCGGTCATGATAGTCGCCAACTCGGCGACGATAGATGCTCTCGGATTGTGCTGTGCAGGTGCAGCTTTTGCATCAGTGCGCGGCACTTATGGCACAGCTACCAGAGTCGTATTCGCAGTCATTCAGTCGAAAGCGGGCGACGTATCAAGGAGATGCTGAGGGTCGAGGAGGCGAGATAACGAGGCGGAGATGGATAACTAAGGTAAATGGAGGGTCCTTCCAGGGATCCCCGATTGCTAGCGGAGACGATGAGTAAGATCGAACGGAGCCAATTCTCTTGGTGTTTAAATAATGAATGTATTCATGCCCTGCTTTTTGGCGATCGTCAGGGAGAATGTATCTCAGCGGTCGTGGTATGGATTATGCTTCGTCGTGGGATATGATTGAGGTGGTCGTTCTAACTCAGGACAAGGTTGCTGGCTCCTGGCCTACCGAAGCCTACATAGACAGGTAACATGTTAAGGTGTAGCTAATGCTAGATAGGGAGTACCTTAAGTAATGGGGCCAAGGTGGCACTCAATTATAGCCCAAGTACCATGGAGGCCAGACCTTCACAGGCTTTGCACGGCCTGGACCGAAGTGATGCAAGCGGCATTGACTCGATCAATTCCAGTTCCAGCTCGTCATTCCAATCATTCCAATACAAGCTTTTTCACTGACTGGTTTTCATTTTGGGACTTGTTGGTCAAGACGACATGTTGTGCCCCAATCAGATAATTTTTAGCATGACCATGCATAACCAGAGAACCCTTCCAATTAACGAGTAATGTACCCGCGTTTGGTGGGCAGCTGGGACATTGTATTATCGATTTTGGGGGCCGCGTGGAGGATGAATTCCCCGACCCACGTCCACCTTTTTGCGCTCAAGATTGGCTGAGGTATCTTGCCTAGCGTCACGGATCACAATAAACCCCACTAACCAAGGTGACTTTGGCCCCTGAGAACTGTCCCAAGTCCCTGAAAACCCTTCCAGAAGACGTCCACAGGCTGAGACCGGGACCCTCCAGAAATGACTACATCATCATTGACCATACCATGAGTATTGAGGGAGAAGGTACCTACAATTTACGCAGGCAATGAACTAGATGGGTATAAATAGTTCTTTTTAATACGAACTGTTAAAAATGTAGCACCTTTGACAATAATATTCCTCCATCATTGCTGCTTCTACCTTCGTTCTCCCGAAAGCATACCACATCCAGTTAACATGTCGTAATGCCCTTTCAATAGAATCTTGCCTGGTATGAGATGGCCCCATGTCTCCGCAAACATGCCTGGTTTATATGGCCTCCAATTTCTGCTGATGATATTCTGTGCACCATATAGTTATTATGGTGCCTGGCATCTCCTATTGTCTTCGACGAACAGGGTCCAATTATTCGTCATGCTTTGTCTCAGCGGTGCCATGACAAAACCCGTTCCCTGGCTCCCAATCGCAAACTTTATCAGACCGTGTTTAAGACATGCCCTGTTGCTCAACCACCTAGACAAACCGCGAAGTGCGAGGAATGGCCATCATGTGGTCATCGGCCCAGCTTTTCTCGAAGACGTGAGTTTGTTTACTGCTCATTTTCATCCAGAGCGACTGCAACATCGGTGACGGCCACCTCAAGTCGATCTGTCCCATTATTCACTTTTCAACCGAGGGGCATGTCAAGGTTAATATGATTAGGGTCGGTCCCGTTGATGCCAAAGAATTGGAACCTGAGACATCATTAGCCGTTGCGATACAAACGCAGTACCTCATGAGACTTACCAGTCTTCGACATTTAGTGTTGTTGGCACCGCTTGGCCTGGTCCCGAGGCAGTGCTCCAACTGTCTGGGCTCTGTCCTTCTGGCAAGTTTGGATCCATGTTCGGCTGCCACATATTCGAATGTCCCTGAAAACCTTGGGGCATCATCCCGTTCCCTCGTTGCTGATACTGTCCAGCTTGTGGGTTATGTATCCCACCTTGTCCGTTATTCGGAGGTACTGAGCCCATTGCATTGTGATCGAGATTGGAGTGTGTTTGTGTTGGTGACAGGTTAGGGAAAGCTGGCATGGCAGCACTATCCGGGAATAACTGGTCAGGCTGGAAGTTTTCCCAAAGGGACTGTGATAAGTTTGGAGAATTCCTCGTGACAAGATAGAGGTC